GTGACAAAGATCTGAGGAGCTGTGACATGTACAGATATCTGATGTTTGTTGATAGCAATAAAATAGTATAATGGTATGCATATAGTTTGATCACACGTAAGGAATAATTGAGTGAATAATGCTCCATCCTTGCACAGGATATTCAGATAAATTATTCCTCTAAAGATTTTTAGCAAGGACACAATAAAGAAAAGAACTTAAAGTTTGAACTGTACAATCAAAACTTTATAAATTGAACCCATTTTTTAAGTGACCAAAGCGTGAATGTTGAATACCAAAGTGCCCAGAAGTGCGCTTGTTAACATAATATACTAATTGCCTCAATACCCACTCACACGAGTTTTTTTGTTACTCAAAGAAAGCAAATGTGTGAGATTATGGAGAATATTGCCTTATTGAAATATAATGTGATATTTGTTATGTACAAAATTATGTATTTTTGAAAAACTATTTAAAAAAAACCAATAGGGAAATATTTGTTTTTTAAAAACAGCACCCAGGATTGCCATTGTCAGATTAACATTGACTTACCACAATATCCAGGAGTGCCACACACTGTTGACATCAGCACATCATTGTCCACAATCTTTGACAACCCAAAGTCAGCTGTCAAAAACAATTACAGGTAACGGTAGTCATTAAATGATTTATGACACTGAAAAACCTCCTAATATAATATCAGAACAGAAACAGGTGCTGTCAATTTGAAATTCATTACAAATAATCCTATAATTTAAGACAGCTACAGAATAGTTATATATGTAACACTTTTTCAATTTGACCAGTAATACTTTTTCAAAAAGCAGTGGAATATAAATTCAAAGTATACATAATACATACCTTGCAAACCTTTTCAGCAAAGTGTAGCAATAATATAAGACTCTATCATGTCCAGGGGTGTAGGATAAGGAAATTCCACCTCGAGGTTTTCAAATTTGGTAAAACCCGAGGCTATGCCGAGGGTCTTGCCAAATTTGAAAATCCCCAGTGTGGAATTTCCCTATCCTACACCCTTGGGCATGATAGAGTATGGATAACCTTTGTTTTCAACATAAGCATTGTTTTAGAAATTGGCCAATATACCGTCTACTTGAGGTTGAATAATTTGTCGTTTTCTATAATTCTCTCATACATTTTCAGTGAATTCTGTTTCCTGTTTCATCTTTACACTTTGTTGTGCCTCTGAAAAGGAAGCCAATTTTGCATATCAAAGCTGTTTGTTGATGACATGTCAGACACCAGCGTTCAAATGCATGTAGAATGTACAACACCTGGCCCATATTCAATGTGTCACATAACGTTTCCTGCAAGCCAAAAAGAATTATGATTCCTGTAGTCCAGTATCATAATTTGCCTTTTGTCAATGAAGACCGCTAGCATACCATATGTAAATAGAAGTTACATTGGTTGTTAACAAACTGTCTCCCAAGAAATGATCCTGTGGTATGTACTAACAAGAGGCCCGATGGGCCTAAACGGTCACCCGAGTAAATTCTGAAGTACTCAAACTGTAGCATGCTCTTTTTTTTTTTAATTGGCACATTATGGGTTACTTTCCAACAACCCAGGTTGAGTATAAAATGGTCTGGTTAGATTTGTTGTAGCATTCAAGTGAGGTTGCACTATAAAGCATGGTCCCACTACAAACAGAACACAAGACATCTCCAACACACACGCAGGCATACACACATAGGGAGGTATTAGCCAGGTGGCATAGGACTAGTAGTTACACTAATACACAAGACATCTCCAACACACACGCAGGCATACACACATAGGGAGATATTAGCTAGGTAGTATAGGACTAGTAGTTAGCGTCTGACAAAGCAGCTCCTGCAATTCCTCAAAATTGTATTGATTCATGAATATGCTAATTGTATTGATGGTATAAATTGTATATCTATGTCTTGTGAGGCGCTTTAGAGCAACTTTAATTATTCTAGCTAGATAAGGGCGCTATTAAATAAATCAAATGTTTTTTGGTTTTTTTAGAGGACATACACCCATACTAACTTGGAGACCAGGCATACACATGCTGTATACTGTAAAATCATAAATTTTCGTGGGACATTAAATTTCCTTTATTTCGTGAATAATAAAAATCCACGAAATTAAAACCCCACGAAAACATAAATTTGGTATTATATAGATAGAGGAAAATCAGAAATCAGCGAAATATAATGTCCTTGAAACAGGCTAGTATATGAATACCCTGAAATGTTAACCCCACGAAAATAAAATGATTCTACAGTAGATAAATTAGATGATACATTTAATGGATTATGTACAGACGAAGTTGTAAATGTCCTAGCCAGTCACAAGCCAGGGTGGCCATCTGGAATTTTACAATCAGCATGAAAAGTGACAAACTTGGTCGAAACCTCATATATAAGGAAGATATTAGAAATCAATCAGTGTAGCCTTTCTGGAGAAGAAGTCAAAAACATCCCAGTCAATGAGAGATCAGGGTGACCGTCTTGGATTTTCTGATCGGCACAAAAAGTAAGAACACTTGTTCGGAACCTCATAAGGAAGATTTGTACAAATAAAGAAGTGAATTGCTGTAGATAATCTTGAGAAGTCGAAATTTCTCGTCTTAGCAAATCAGAGGCCTCAGGATCTGCCATCTTGTAATCTCCAATTTGGCAGTAACACTGCCAGTTACTGTCTGATTGTCCGAGATCTTATTGATATAAAGCAGCATAGCAAATTTTATAGAAATCCATTCACTTTTACTCAAGTTATTGTGCTCACAAGATAAAAGTTAACACACGACGACAGACACACACGGATGGCAATAGGTCACCATGACCTATGGTCAGGTGACCTAAAAATAGATTGGATGTAAATGACCATACATACCAATTTTAAGGGGCGAGTCATCTTTGCTGCTCTCATATAACAGATTTTCAGGCTAAATTGTGGGAAAAAAATAATAAGTACTGAAATGGAATCTAAAACATTCATTAACCTAAATGATAGGGTCTGTATTAAACAAACATCCACCTGTGTTGTATTAGCAGTAATGTGTTGTATTAGCAGTAATGTGATATATATACATTTCTTAGATCCCTACTAGACCGTGACCTGGAGCTTACACGTACAGACTCACAGAGGAATTATAGTGACCTTTCCGGGTCATGCTATTGTTCGTGACGTCATTTTATGACCTTTTGGGGTCAGTCAGGGTCATTGACATCATTAACAATTGTCATCCGGGCTTCATATGCAAATATTTACATTCTGTATGCTTAGACCCATTGACAAAAATTACATTCATAAATGCATAACACAGGTGTTCATAGAATCTCAGCACGTGGGAACTGATAGTAACCTGATCACACTGCGTAGTTATACACTACAAAAACTACTCACTCGGAACGACCGAACTAGATGCTTAATTCTTACATCTTAAAATATTATTGAACTGTGCTTTGTGAAATATCCACGTATTCACGTGTCCTGTTCTACAAATAAACATTGAATATGGAACTACATTTTGTTGTGTTATTGTTGTTGACGGTTGCTAAGATCTCTCACGATAGTGTCACATTTCCCCGCGAAAAAACACTGTTCTCGCCACTGCGTTGCACCCGTGTATAAGCAGGAACAAACCCTGTTTATTTGTTTTATTCGTTGTTATATCGATCCACTGAAAGGATTCGTCAATGTAAATATAAGGAATGATATTTATTTTTTCAACATTTATGAGGTCATAACAACAATGGGTTTTTGGACATATTTTACATGAATCGCTAACGCGATTCATTCAATATGTCCATAAACCCATTGTTGTTATGACCTCATAAATGTTGAAAAAATAAAAATCATTCCTTAAATGAGAAATGTGCGGACAGTTCACAACTTTACTAGAAGAGCAGCTGTTTTTACGGGTTTCAGGTGATAAGCAAGAAATAGAATCCATCCCTGATGTGAGGTATGGATAAGATTTAATTCAAACCCTCGGGAAAAAATATTGAGCAGAAGACCCTAGGGATATCCTTGGGTTTGCATTACTTTATCCATACCTCACATTAATTACCTCACATCAGGGATGGATTCTTTTAGTATATAGTTCTATTTATTTAACATCCGCAGTTTTTGTCATTTTAAGTTTAAGATTGAAAGACATATATATCAGGGTGAAGAATATTCTTTATCTATAATTTGTGTAGCAGGTTAACATATAAAAGGCGTCATTATATTGAGGACGTTTAATGCTTACCTTCATGTCTCTGTGAACAACTTCATTATCATGTATATACTACAAAATACAACAACAATTATCACATACATTTGTATTACAGAATATACATAAAAAAGTTATCTTTCCGATGAATTAACAAAAATACACTTAAATTTAAGTATTTTATAAAAAAAAAAAATCAATTAATTAAGATATTGATTCATACTATAAGTAATATTTCACTTTGATAATTGCAGGTCTATTTATTGACTAAGACTTGAATGTTGAGTGAAAGTTCAGTTTGTGAATTAAAGATTTTGCTGTGAAAAAGAGAGGTCACATAATAATTTTTAAACCACATTTACGAGAAAACCTGGCAGGCTACAGGAAATATGCATACCGATACATAAGCTACTGATTTGCTATTTGGTATTAAAATTACATTTCATATGTTTTACCCATTCCACATAAACATATAACTTAACCTTTTATTCAGTTCACTGGGTTTTTTTCAAATTCTATAATTATCGTAATACCTTTAAAGCATTGAGGATGTCGTGCATTGCTTCAGCAGCATCCTTCTCTGAGTACGATCCTCTGGCCACAATTCTGTCAATGGAATTTAAATGCTCAATTCAGAGAGAGAAATAGATACCCAACTACATTACTACCCGGTATACATCACTATGAATACTCTAGAAGTCCTTAATTAAACAGTGTGTCAATATCAACTTGCTACTGACACAGTGTATGATTTTATAAACTCACTTATAGATTTACTAGGACAGTGTGCCACTTAATCAACTCACTTGATGGAGGTACTAACACAGTGTTATATCATCAAGTGTAGCATTATCAACTTACTAAATGTTGTAATCTAACAGTGCATCACCTTCTACACACTAGATGTAGCACTAATGTAGTGTAGCATTATCAACTCACTATTAATACATCAATCACTGTCAGTGCCCTATAAATACACATTTAACTGATTGGTGGTAAGTCCAACATACTTGATCTTGATCTGTTTGTCCAGTCAACTTACCTCACCTGTCCCTGTCAACTTACCTCACCTGTCCCAGTCAACTCACCTCAACTGTCCCTGGAGTCAACTTACCTCACCTGTCCCAGTTAACTTTCATCACCTGTCCCAGTCCACTTACCTCACCTGTCCCAGTCAACTTTCCTAACCTGTCCCAGTCAACTTACTGCACTTGTCCCAGTAAACTCACCTCAACTGTCCCTGGAGTCAACTTACCTCACCTGTCCTAGTTAACTTTCATCACCTGTCCCAGTCCACTTACCTCACCTGTCCCAGACAACTTTCCTAACATGTCCCAGTCAACTTTCATCACCCGCCCCAGTCAAGTCACCTCACCTGTCCCAGTCAACTTTCCTAACCTGTCCGAGTCAACTTTCATCACCTGCCCCAGTCAAGTCACCTCACCTGTCCCAGTAAACCTACTTTCCCTTTACCAGTCAACTTACCTCACCTGTCCCAGTCAACTTTCCTCACCTGTCCCTGTCAACTTTCCTCACCTACCCCAGTCAACTTTCCTCCCCTGTCCCTGTCAACTTTCCTCCCCTACCCCAGTCAACTTTCCTCACCTGTCCCACTTAGCTTACCTCACCAGTCCCACTTAGCTTACCTCATTAGTCCCACTTAGCTTACCTCATTAGCCCCAGTCAACTTACCTCACCAGTCCCACTTAGCTTACCTCATTAGTCCCACTTAGCTTACCTCATTAGCCCCAGTCAACTTACCTCACCAGTCCCACTTAGCTTACCTCATTAGTCCCACTTAGCTTACCTCATTAGTCCCACTTAGCTTACCTAATTAGTCCCAGTCAACTTACCTCACCAGTCCCAGTCAACTTACCTCACCAGTCCCACTTAGCTTACCTCATTAGTCCCACTTAGCTTACCTCATTAGTCCCAGTCAACTTACCTCACCAGTCCCAGTCAACTTACCTCACCAGTCCCAGTCAACTTACCTCACCTGTCCCAGTCAATGTACCTCACCTGTCCCAGTCAATTTATCTAACCTGTACCAGTGAACTTGACGCACCTGTACCATTTATCTAACCTGTACCAGTGAACTTGATGTACCTGTACCATTTATCTAACCTGTACCAGTGAACTTGATGTACCTGTACCATTTATCTAACCTGTACCAGTGAATTTGATGCACCTGTACCATTTATCTAACCTGTACCAGTGAACTTGACATACCTGTACCATTTATCCAACCTCACTTGCACCAGTCAACTTACCTTTCAAATAGTTCTCCCCCTGTCACAAGTTCCAGTACCAGGTAAATCTTTTCAGGGGTCTCATAGATTTCTTTTAAAGCAATCTGAAAAATAACATTGAATAAAGTTTCAAATAAAAAAGTGTTTTTTTTTAATTAGAAATTTGGGACGTGTTATATATGCACAGAAAGCGTCGATCAATAGGTGATTATTATTTTTTTGCAATATTATATGTTTAAATCGAAGCATCAATAATGAGAATTGAGGAAGTGACTGTAACTTCATCAAATATATTTAAGGAATGACCAAGATTTTGTTTTGGTATATACGGTATATACCGAAAAAAAATTGTGCACTTTGCATGCGGTTTATGCAAAAAAGTGCACAATTCTTTTCCATATATACAGTATATACCAAAACAAAATCTTGGGCATTCTTTATAATTTAATTTTAAAAAAGTTGACAAACACGTAAATGCACACTTAAAGATTTATTTAATTTTTACGTAAACTAAACAATTGTGATAAAAAAAAGCTGCGTTGTAATTTTGCATTCTGAAGTGTAAAAAGTAGTTCCGTCATCAGTTGTTTTTCTTTTTAGGTATATACGATATATACCAAAAACAATATTATGGGGGAGATAGGCAAAATTAAATTATATATATATATGCAGTTTTGCACATATTCCACCAATCTTAAAGTTTTGAAATTTTGTTAAATCCTGTATATAAGTAGAAAACCTTTAATAATGACAGCCAGGCTTAGGCTTTGATTCCCCAATCAGACATCAAAAGGTCTGGGGTCACCTGCCTGACCATATAAATATGTTTTCTTAGGGAACTCCAGTTTCCTCCCATATAAAGACCTCCTGTTCTACCATCTGGGCCAACAGGAGTGATTAATATAAGTTGGTAACTAACTAAATATTTCATGATTGTTGTAAAATAAATAAAGTTCACTACTATTACTATTATATAATGTAACTATTACCCTATCAGTAAACACCTATCACCATATCATTATCAACTATTACCCAATTATTATACGTCTATTACCACATCATTGTACATGTATTACGTATATATAAATACCTAATCATTATACAACTATTACGTATATATAAATACCTAATCATTATACAACTATTACCTAATCATAACAAATATTACCCAGTCATTATACAAATATTACCCAGTCATTATACAAATATTACCCAGTCAGTTTATAACTACTACCCAATTATTATACATATATTACCACATCATTATACATCTATTACGTATATATATAAATACTTAATCATTATACAACTATTACCTAATCATAACAAATATTACCCAGTCAGTTTATAACTACTACCCAATTATTATACAATAATTACCAAATCATTAACCTATTACCCAATAATTATACATCTATTACCAAATCATTATACAATTATTACCCTATCATTATGCATCTATTACCAAAACAATTTATACATCTATAACCTAATCATTAACCTATTACCCAACCATTATACATCTATAACTACTACCCAATTATTATACAATTATTACCAAATCATTAACCTATTACCCAATAATTATACATCTATTACCAAATCATTATACAATTATTACCCTATCATTATGCATCTATTACCAAAACAATTTATACATCTTTTACCTAATCATTAACCTATTACCCAACCATTATACATCTATTATATAATCATTATGCATCTATTACCCAAACATTATGCATCTATTGCCTAATCATTAACCTATTACCCAATAATTATGCATCTATTATCAAATCATTATACAATTATTACCCAATCATTATGAATCTTTTACCCAAACATTATACATCTATTACCTAATCACTAACCTATTACCCAACCATTATACATCTATTACCCTGTCATTATACAAATATAACCCAGTCAGTTTATAACTACTACTCAATTATTATACAATTATTACCAAATCATTAACATATTACCCAATAATTATACATCTATTACCCAATCATTATACATGNTACCCAAACATTATACATCTATTACCTAATCATTAACCTATTACCCGATCATTATACATGTACAACTATTACCCAATCAGTTTATAACTATTACCCTATTATTATACAACTAATACCCAATCATTATACAACTATTACCAAGTTGTTATGCATTGCACAACAATAAAACTATATAACAGGACACTAGTCATATATTGATATTGATGTTACTTACCACATTTGAATGTCGTAGTCTGAACAAAATACCTGCTTCTGTAATGATCACTTTTCTCTCAACCTTTAAGAAATATTGGAAAATGTATATTATATAATATGATACTGATGTGGAATTAAATATAATGATAAAATGTTCCAATTGCAAGTTTTACGGATTGAAGAAATCAACACATCTTAATCATGTCCTACTTTAATTAAGCAATTAAAATATCATAATTCTTGTGAAAATGGCATTTGTAGCACAATGAATAAAAAATCACTAGAAATAAGGTATTTGAGTAATATATGCATTACATGGTTTAGTAAAGAAAACAGTTTTTAATGTTGAAGAATACCAATAAAAAATACAGATTTTTTTCTTTACTGTAGTAATTATGTGCACCAGCTGCATTATAACATTTTGAGATGTAAAAAGGATTTATACTAAACTGCAGTCCAACTGTTTAGGACATTTTCAATGACATCAGTGATAATTATAATTATTGAGTACACTGACTGACTTAAGAATGTTGACTGCTAATGCAGTACTTACAAAATTGGAAATAATGAAAAATATCACCATAGCAAACACTCAGGTTTAAAATCATTTGGTTTTATCTGCCAATTGCATCTGTATATATGTGTACGTGAGAGAGAATTAATGTCCCAAACCTAGGTCCTATATATATAGCATTAGATATTGTATGTGTATATCACTGGATAAACATTCAAAAATATGTCCTTACTAAACAAATCGCAGGTTAATTTCCAATAACAACCATTCATACATAATTGTAAGATACCTGTTTGGCGATGATCTTTACAGCCCAGGCCTTTTTGCTCCCTATGTGTTCACACTTATATACCACAGATGTAGCACCTCTGAAAACAACAAACAATTGCATCACCATGAAAATGAAAATATAAGTTTCTAAATTAGGATTGTTTTTAGCTCATTTTTAATCTGCATTAATTTATCCCAATTATTAATTCACATTAATGTGAATAAACTATTATAAACTTGCGAGCTCAAATTAAAGTCATAACTGAATGATTCATGATGTAGTACGGTCTTGAATTTTGGTCACTTCATATGTTATTTATATAAGGGAGATTACTCCAACAGGAAAACAATCTAAGCAGAGCTCTTCTTCATTATCAGAATCACTATAAGTGCAGTGGTATCCTTTACCTTAAATATTAGTGCATTTTTACCCAATTCGACTCAATTTTATTTGGTAAAACAAGTTATAAAAATAAATCTATAACAATATGAAATTATCGTTATCAGGTATAATATATATTTGCATACATTTTTTGCAATTAATTCCATAAGAAATTGGTTCAGTAAGATTGCAAATGGTGCATCAGGGGAGATAATTGATACAAAGTGTAGTAGATATATATATATATAATAAAATACTTTATAAATTGGCATATTATCCACCCAAAGTCAAGTTTGCAAATGAAAGTATTTATATACATTAGTATAGAATTAAATTCAACGCAAATCTTACTAATGCAATGGAAATGGGAAATCGGAAGTGAAACCAATGTAAATAATCTCGTAACTACGGCAAGCACGGGAACCTGTCCATGAGCCAATTACCTGCCCAGCTCCGTCCCGATTATATAGTTGTCCTCAAATTTCTGATCTCTTATGCTTTCCTTGATCCAGAAGTCTTGTTGCTGCCCTTTACTCGTCATGGTTACACCAGGTGTGTGATCGTTAGCCCACCCGAAACAAATGCTTGTGTCCACTTAATCGATTGTTGTTGTCACGTGACTTGGTTTGGATTTATAAGGAAGCAGGAACTTTAAAAATGTGTTCAAACAATGCATTATAAATGCATTAGATATGAAGAATTAATAAAGTTATATTGAACATGCATATTCATATTTTAATGTGAATGAACAAATTATAACCAAACCCAAACTCATTATAAAAAAAATCCGGAATTTGTTTCTTATGGTGGTAGGTAAATCTTGTACCCCGTTCCAGGACCCGGACTAAAACCCGTACCAGGAATATAAAGATATTTTAATATCTCATTAACGCGATCGTTTATATATATATTTTTTTAAATTATACAATAATTTTAAACATTATTTTCTAAATGTGACAGTTACAAAAATGTTTATTTATCATCTAATAATTTAGAAATCGACGATAATGTGTATTTCAAGGGGGTAAAACTTATACGCCCCATTCAACCTTTACGGTAATCACGGGTTTTCACATATAATTAGAAATTTAGGGGTAAATAACATGTTATTTTCAGATAAATAGAAGAAAATACCTTTCTGTTTATAATTATATAAGTTTCGTTGAAATAAACGACACATTGCACATGAAATTCTGACTTTGTTGTGATCGCGGTTGTTTTGTTAACTCCCGTACCCGTGCTAAGGGGACATCACTCTGTCAAGCTGTCGTTATCAGCTATTTAGTAGAGTTCCCATAATGGGGTCAGGTGACCATTTTCCCCGGACCAAGGTTTGAAAGTAGATTTTGGTCAATTTGAGAGTGCTGATTAAAATAAGCTGGGGTGAACCTCTTGAAAATGTGGGCTAAATAAGTAGGACGCGAAAATTCAAAATGGCCGCCACCCGGCGTCCGGAGGCCAATAACATAAAAATAAATATCTTTGCTTCTATATAGATGTCCGTTTTATATGATTTTTGGGTTTAAATATATGTTTTGAGGGTCAGGGATTGCATTTATTAGCACAATCAATCGATAAAAGTAAGTTTTAGAACGAAACATGTTTTTTAATTATTTTGCTGCCAAAAAACAGGATAACCGCCAACAGACTGCAAAGGAAAAGACCAGGGAGACACCCTTAATGGTTTGGATGCAAAGGTTTCATTTTTAACCATTGTAAACTAGATAAAACAACCCTTGTATGAACTATCTGGTCTATGATTTTGTTCATTTCGTGTCTAACGTCCTCGCAACGGTCAGAATCATATGATTGATTTGGTTTGGTTTTAATTTGTTTAACGTCCTAATAACAGCTAAGGTCATCTATACAGACACGGATAAACCAGTTGTTGCCATTCCCCTAAATACTGGACGTTAAGCAGGGAATAACAACTACATAGTTTAAGGACTTTGGTATGTAACGGCCTGTGGATAACCAAAATAAATCTGCTTCCCAATTAGAACACTTTTGGGTTTTTTCTCGCTTCTTATCTTTCTTGTCTTCATTCTTTTCAACTACTTGTTGTTTGTGGCGTCGATTCCCTAGACACCCGTCCTCATATGATCCATTGGGGATTTGCTTTTGTGCTCTCTATCTGGGGACATAAAAGCGACCAAAATCAATCTGCTACACCCATTGCAATATTATATATCTGTATTATATTTCTTTCTTCTTCTAACTACCTTCTATTTTCTAGCGCCTTGCTTGGCAACACCTCACTTTTGGCTTTAATGTTGATCGCTCAACCATGTGAAGAAGGCAATGGGGTCTGTCCCAAGGCCGTGACATACCAAAATCATTAGCAAGAGGTCCAAGGGCCTTAGCGGTCACCTGAGTTATATCATAGGTAGTGGTAGCTTTATTTTATTGTTTAGATGTGATGTGGAAATCAACATGTAAAATAAGTGAAATACAATACTTTTAAAATATTGGTAAATGTTCCATTTGGGGCCCCGCCCTAGCCCCTGGGGATTGGGCAGGAATTCCAATTTTACAATGTAATACCTTCATCCACTAAAGGTGGTTCTGACCAAGTTTGAATAATTTCCTACAGACAATTGTCAAAATATACACAAAAGTGTTATTTCCAAATATACACTATAGTAAACTTTACCCCCTTCCACGGGGAGAAGGGATGGCCCGGGGTCCTGAAATTTACAATTTAAATAAAGCCACCGATGATCTTTCCATCCATTCAGAGAAAATAACTGTAGTACCTCTTAGTCTGGAGAAGAAGATTTTTGAAATATTGGTTCATTTTCCCTTTGGGGCACTGCCCTGGCCCCTAGGGTTGGGGTAGGAATCCCAATTTTATATTTTAAAACTATCTTCCTCCAAGGATAATTATCACCAGTTAAAAATAATTTCCTACAGAAAATTGTCAAAATATACCCAAAAGTGTTGTTTCCCTATATAAACTATAGTAAACTTTACCCCTTCCCCAAGGGAGAACGGAAAGTTCGGGGGTCTTGAAATTTTAAATTTAAATAAAGTCACTGATTATCTTTCCATCCATCCAGAAAAAATGACTGTAGTACCTCCAATCCTGGAGAAAAAGATTTTTGAAATATTGGTTAATTTTCCCTTTTGGGCCCCGTCCTGGACCCTAGGGTTGGGGTAGGAATCCCAATTTTACCATTTAAAACCATCTTCCTCCAAGGATAATTATCACCAAGTAAGAATAATTTCCTTAAGAAAATTGTCAAAATATACCCAAAAGTGTTGTTTCCCTATATAAACGATAGTAAACTTTACCCCCTCCCCAAGGGAGAACGGATAGCTCGGGGGTCTTGAAATTTATAATTTAAATAAAGCCCCTGATGATCTTTCCAACCATGCAGAGAAAATGGCTGTAGTACCTCTGAGTCTGGAGAAGAAGATTTTTAAAATATTGCTCAATTTTCCCTTTGGGGCCCCACCCTGGCCCCAGGGGTTGGGATAGGAATCCCAATTTTACAATTGTGTAGCCTCATCTACCAAGGATGATTCTGACCAAGTTTGAAAATATTCCATCCACTGGTTCTTGAGAAGAAGTTGAAAATGTAAAAAGTTTAAGCACGACGGACGCCAGACGACGACGGACGGAAAGTGATCGTGACCTAAAAATGTAGTTGTTATTCCCTACCTAACGCTTAGCACTTAGGGGAATGGTAACAACTGCTTTACCCTTTGTCAGTATAATGTGATCGGATGGAATGCTGTACTGGGTGCCTTCGGCATGGTATTTCAGTGAGATCGGCATCAGATCCGCGCTATCACAAGAAGGCAAGTCAACCAACATACCCAGTCTCCGGCACTTATACACACATGCACGCTTACACAACACACATGAAGGCACGTCCTGAAATGACCTAAGCTGTTAATAGGACGTTAAACACATTAAAACCAAACCATACCAATCATATGATTCTTGCTGTTGCGAGGACGTTAAAACACGAAATGAACAAAGTTATTGACCAGACATTTCCATGGTTAAAGATGAAACCTTTGCATCCAAACCCTTAAGGGTTTCTCCTTGGTCTTTTCCTTTGCAGTCTGCTGGCGGTTATCCTGGTTTTTGGCAGCAAAATAATAATAATAAAAAAATCGTTCTAAAACTTACTTTTATCAGAGACATATAAATGCAATCCCGGACATTCAAAACATATATTTAGACCCAAAAAACATATAAAACGGACATGTAGAAGCAAATATATGTATTTTTATTATATACTTGCGGCCATTTTGCATTATCGCGTCTGACCGCGTTAGCCCACATTTTCACGAGGTTCACCCCAGCTCATTTTAATCAGCACCCTCAAATTAATCAAAATCAACCTTCAAACCTTGGTCCGGGAAAAATGGTCACGGGACCCCATCGTGGGAACTCTACTAATTCTGTTAGAATGTTACCAGGCTCTGCGACGCGGACGCAGCTCTAGATAATTTGTGAACTATTATTTATCTTATATATATATGTAGAACTGCGTCCGCGTCGCAGAGCCTGGTAACATTCTAATAGAATGGCTAAGAATTTTACTTGATAACGATCGCGCGAGCTTGACAGAGTGATGTCCTCGCCCGCGATCACAACAAACTCAGAATTTCATGTGAAATATGTCGTTTATTTCAACGAAACTTACATAATTATAAACAGTAAGGTATTTTTTCTTCTATATATATCTGAAATAATATGTTAATTTTCCCTCAATTTCTAATTATATGTGAAAAACTGTAAATTTAATAAATTATTAGATGAACATTTTTGTAACTGTCACATTTAGAAAATAATGTTGAAATTATTGTATATAATTTTATAAAAAACAACAGCCATAAAAGATCACGTTAATGAGATATTAAAATATCTTTATATTCCTGGTACGGGGTTTTAGTCCGGGTCCTGGAACGGGGTACAAGATTACCTACCACCGTTTCTTATTTTAGTAAATATGATTTACTTCCGGAAGAAAAAACTCTGAAAAGGTACAGGTGCCCAGAAGGATAAAATGATAAAGCCAATGGAATATATTGAAAATGTGCTGTATAATAACACGTGCACTTCAAAAAAAAAATGCACATATTTTTGTTATATGAACATTGGCTATGTTGATATAGCTTTTAGCAAATGTTTTACTATTTTGTGCATGGTTTGCACCACAGGTGCTCGGGTCTGGAATATATGTGATATATAATCGCACCCACTATATATCGCATCCCCTTTAACTAATAAATCATAATTTATTAGTTTAAGGCGATTATATATCACATATATTCCAGAACCCGAGCACCTGTGGTTTGCACCGCTGAGTGGCGCATGATTACGTAGTCACGTGGTTTGAATGCCGATCAGTACATCATCATATCAACGGTGTTCTGTATTTTCTACCTATGTACACTTTTTTTTATTGTCATTAATCATATTGTTTGATAATGAAAATTAACTGAATAATGATGTGCATAGCGCACTTGTTTAAAACGATAAACTTAACAGTTAAATCCTGGGTGTTACCAGTTTTGACGGATTGCAGTTGTAATCAGAAACCAAACCCACTGTGGAAACATGCCATGAACGGACCAAGAAAAGCAGCCAAAGCAATCATCAAAGCCAGAATACTGACGGGCACATACACACTACAAACAAATAGGTCAAAATTCAACCAACACAATATCTCTCCCAACTGCCCACTTTGCAAAGAGGAAGCTGAAACTAGAGAACATTTTATTCCCTACTGCACTTCTCTCCAACATGGGCGACTGTTGAAAAATTTATGATAAAAGAAATTATAGTCCCTTCCACATTAACTGGGGGGCAGTACATTTTTCAGTGGTCATGACTTCGATTTGGATCGAACTGTCTGTGATTTAGAAAATGTGATGATTTTTTTTTCAGATATTCTATTATAAGTATTGAACTGTTTGCACATTATGTTGTTTGCTTACAAAGCTGTGACATTCAAAAAGATCATAAACTGGTAGCATTTGAAGTGAGTAATTTTGTGAATGAGCACAGGGGTTCGTTACAAATGTCTGAAATGTTTATGTGTGTTGTGACTCATATCAGTAGGTCTGTAACATATGTGTCAGTAGGTCTATAGAATATGTGTAGTTCAGACATTTGTAACGAACCCCTGTTGAATAGGGCAGTGTAACAGACGATATTTCTGATAAATTGTGTGAGTGTTAAAATTGTTTCCATTGCCGGCATTGGTGATTTCAACCAATGTGCATTTTGTATGATATTGCAGACCTTGGTCTTGTTTTTGTTGTAATAAAAGGTTGTTTTTTTATATTTTCTTCGGACATAAATTTACAATAACATTATCAAGTCTCACAATGCCCAGCGATATTTCAACACCCTTCATGTTTATTAACATGGGATATTGTAGTTCCGGTCAGTGTTGCATTAATACGCTAAGAATTGTGTCTCGTGCTGCATGGTAATTAAAGTCCCATCAATGACACAGCTTTCAAAGAGGCTATATAGTGACAATGCCATGCAAATGTAAATATGGCCAGGGTGTTTTCTTTGAGGTGCGAGTTTTGTGTATTTCTTTGGGAAACATGTCAGGTTTTAACTAGGGTTGAAGAATTAAATATATAATGTTTTATTCTGTTTTATATATTACAAACATTGTCATGTTATATGTAATTCAAATGTGCTGAAGCATTGTGTTAAATGCTGTGGAAATATTTCTTCCCAAAATTATTTGGGCCACCAATATGTCATTTGGGCCAGTGCTTCAAATTTATTAATGCCCCAAATATTAAACTCACTTTGAAGGTTGGCTTTCATACACATCAGTATTAAGTTTAGATCAAAAGTTACCTCAAGGTGCATTTACTGTTAACATGCCTCGATCAAACAGATTAGAGGAAAGAAGAGAAAAGTTCTAAGAACTAAAGAACTAATGAAGATGGTACAATGGTGGGTGCCAAGATCCCTCTGGGATCTCTCGTAGAATTATCATTTAGTATTCTCATTGATTTATTCTTAAATATTTTTAGGATTTAAGTGGTGACATTTGGACGTGGCAAAAGTAATGGATGAATTAACAGCACAGCTAGCTGCAGACTTCTCTGTAAGCAGCGATCCAAATAGCATTGCAGCACAACACCCAAGATTTACCCAGTACAAGTCTCGTGGTGATGGCCCGGACCAGAATACACGCAGATCAAGAATTCTCAAGGCACAGAAGAGGTAGGATTAGGCCCCAAAAAATGTGTTTTCTGTAGCTTGTTTGAAAAATTGAGGGAGGCTATTTCTTAAAATAATTTTGTATGTTTTTTTAGCTCACATGCCCGAAGGGCAAAGGGGTCAAATGTCTTAAAATAATAATATGATGTCTTTGAACAACTCTTCTCAATAACCTAAAGGCCCAGGACCCTTGACCCACTTTCAAGGTCACGGGGGTCAAATGTCTTAAAATCTTCAAACGACTTCTCATTAACCAAAAGGCCCATGGTACTGATATTGGGTCTGTAGCATGCTAGGATGAAGGGCTACGAAGTTTGTTCAAATGAATGACCTTGACCCACTTTCAAGGTCACAGGGATCAAATGTCGTAAAATCTTCAAACGACTTCTCAATAACCAAAAGGCACAGGGTACTGAAATTGGGCATGTATCATGCTGTTATGAAGGACAACCAAGTTTGTTCAAATGAATGATCTTGACCCACTTTCAAGGTCACAGGGGTCAAATATGTCAAAATCTTCAAACAACTTCTCAATAACCAAAAGGCCCAGGTTACTGATATTGGGCCTGTAGCATGCTGGGATGAAGGGCTACCACGTTTGTCCAATTGAATGACCTTGACCACATTTGACCCCTGTCACCTTGAAAGTGTTCAAGGTGACAGGGGTCAAATGTTGTAAAATCTTCAAACGACTTCTCAATAACCAAAAGGCCCAGGGTACTGATATTGGGCCTGTAGCATGCTGGGATGAAGGACTGCCAAGTTCGTTAAAATGAATGACCTTGACCTTATTTCAAGGTCATAGGGGTCAAATGTCTTTAAATCTTCAAATGACTTCTTCTCAGTAACCAAAAAGCCCAGGGTTCTGATATTGGGTCTGTTGCATACTAGGATGAAGGACTACCAAGTTTGTTCAAATAATGACCTTGACTTTTAATCAAAGTCACAGGGGTCAAATATGTTAAAAACCTGTAATACAACTTATTCTGAATAACCAAAATGCCTAGGATGATGATCATAGTTGGCCAGTAGCATGCTGGAATAAAGGACTACCGAGTTTGTCCAAATAAAAAACCTTTTTAACAACTTCTTCTGAATAACCAGGTATAAGGTGATGATATTTTGCCAGTTACATGCTGTGATGAAGGGCTACCAAGTTTGTTCAAATGAATGACCTTGACTTACATATATTTAAGGTCACAAGGTTTGAATTTGTTAAAAAACCTTAAAAAGAACTTCTTCTGAATAACCAAGAGGCCTAGGGTGATGATATTTGGCTAGAAGCATGCTTGGATGAAGGGCTACAAAGTTTGTTCAAATGAATGACCTTCATCTTTTTTCAAAGTCACAGGGTTCAAATGTGTTAAACCTTTAAACAACTTCTTCTGAATAACCAAGACGCCTAGGATAATGCCAGTAACATGCTGGGATGAAGGACTAGCAAGTTTGTTCAAATGAATGACCTTGACATATATTCAAGGTCACATGGTCAAATATGTTTAAAACCTTTAAACGACTTCTTCCTAATAAGCAAAAGGTCAAGGGTGATGATATTTGGCCATAAACATGCTGGGATGAAGGACTACCAAGTGAATGACCTTTGCTCATTTTCAAGGTCACTGTGCTCAATATATGTTTAAATCTTTATATGATTTGTTCTGCTTAACCGAAAGGTCCAGGGTAATGATATTTTGCCAAAAGCATGCTGGGTTGGAAGACTATAAACTCTGTTCAAACTAGTGTCCTTGTTCGACATTCAAGGTCACAGGCGTCATATGATTAAATCTTTTAATAGGTATGATGAATCAAACACTGATATTCTGCCTGTAGCTGTATTTTAGTCCACTTTTAAGATTACAAGTGTTAGATAAATACCAGGTGAGCGATGCAGGCCCAATGGGCCTTTTGTATTCACAGAGGGTCAGATATGTTTCAAACTTTAAAACAACTTCTTCTGAAAAGCCAGAAGGCATAGGGATGCAAGTTTGTTCAAATGAAAGACCTTGACATTCAAGGTGAATGGGCTCAAATATGTTAAAAATCTTTCAACAACTTCTTCTGAATACCCAAAATGCACAGGAAGATGACATGTGGCAAGAAGCATGCTTGGATGAAGGGTCAATTATGTTTGAAATCTTTAAATGACTTCGGAATAACCAGAAGACCTAAGGTGTTGATATTTGGCCAGAAACTCGCTAGGATAAATTGCTTCAAAGTTTGTTCAAATGAATGACTTTGACATATATTCAAGGTCACAGGGGTCAAGTATATTAAAATCTTTTAGTAGCCCTTCATCCAAGCATGCTTCTTGCCATATATCATCTTCCTGTGAATTTTCGTTATTTGGCCAGTAGCATTCTAGGATGAAGGGCTAACAAGTTTGTGAAAATGAATGGCCTTGACCTATATTCAAGGTCGTAGGGATTACGTATGTTCAAAATCTTAAAACCACTTCTTCTGAATAACCATAAGGCCTAGAATGTTGATATCTGGTCAGTAGCATGTTAGGATAAAGAGCAACCAAGTTTGTTTAAATGAATGACTTTCACCCCTATTCAAGGTCACAGGGTCAAATTTGTTTAAAGTCCTCAAACGCCTTTTTCTGAACATGAGGCCCAGGATGTTGATATTTGGTTAGTAGCATGCTTGGATGAAGGGCTATCAAGCTTGTTCATTTGAATGATCTTGACTCACTTTCAAGGTCACATTTGGTCAAATATGTATAAACCTTTAAATGACTTAATTATATATATAATCTCTATAGAAAAGGTCAAGGGTACTGATATTTTGCAAGTTGCATCCTGAGATGAAGGGCTATTAAGTTTGTTTATTGTAATGACCTTGTTCGACTTTCAAGGTCACAGGGGTCAAATATTTTAACATCTTTCAATAGGTTTTTTGAATGATTTACAGTCATGAGTACTGATCTTTTGCCTATAGCTTTACTTTAGATCACTTTTAAGGCTACAAGTGTGAGATTAATACCAGATGAGCGATGCAGGCCCATTGTGCCTCTTGTATAGAAGAGTAATCATGACCTTGACGCACAGTGCTTCTTTGAAAAATTGCTTTTAAATGTCAGTGTCTGTCGTGCATCTTCAAAACGACTGAACTTTTTTTCAACCAAATTTTGCAGAATGGTTTTTCGGTGAAATGTAAACAAAAAACATGAAATGTATATGGATTAAACTCCCCGAGACTTGACGGGTCAGACCAAAAGGGGTCAAGTTGGCTAAACTATCAATAATTTTCTTCTTCAGACCTTGTTATGCTAGAATCCAATTCTTCATGGATATATAGTTCCCTGCTTCTTCAGACCCAGATATGCTTGTATCAAATACTCTTCATTAATACCGTAATGATGTTTTAAATTATTCGATTTCAGACAAAGGTTTGATTATCTTTGCCACATGCGATGTCTATCAGAAGATACCTGGGAAAAGGCTGATGCTGAGTCTGTGGCCTCTAATGACAGCATGGAAGTACAGATGGAGGGTGAGGAGGTGAAACTCAGAAAGCCTGGCAGAAATTTCAAAAATCAGGTATAGTTCTATATAACATGAGTTTTTAAGTAAAATTCAATATACGTGTATTGAAACTGAAGGTATTAAATCTTCTGTAGGTTTAGGGAAAAAATTGTCCACTGTACACTTGCAGCCAGCTCTATGATCTTGAGGTAGAATTGGGGGTTTTCATTTTAATATGTCTATTATCGGGGTTCAAAGATTATTCAGTGATATATGGGGGGACTCATTAGAAATTTTCAATTAATGTTCAGGATTCGCCCAAAAAAATCAATAAAATAACTTATTTTCCACATATTTTCTGCTGTTCCCATAGCTGTACCTATAGCTAGCTAATGTTGAGAGCAATGTGACCTTTTCATAAAGCCCATCTACCAAAGTCCCTCACTCATGTTTGACAAAACTCACTTCATGAGATTGCTTTGATCTGCTTGGCTGATAGCTTCCGTATGATATGTTTTGAAGGAATTGTCAGATTCTGATGAAATTTACCTTGAATTTAATATTTACTTCAGTAGAACCTAGCTTCTGCTTGATTCCTGAACAAATTTAATGAAGCTGCTATGATAATACAGATGACATCATTTCATTCCTTTATCATGGTGTTGGGTGACACATTTACTTGTTTTATTGAAAAGCTCTCCACCTACTTTTATAGATTGTTATTGTTTTATTGAACTGAAGGTGGGCTTTTTCAGAATATATGTTTTATTTTAAGTTAATCATTAAACTTGTCATTTTAGTTAATGATGTCAGAATGGTTAGTCGAGGTACCAGGTGATTTTGCAGAAGAATGGAGTACAGTTATCTGCCCTTGGGGAAAGAGGTGCCTGGTTATTGCTTCAAGGGTAGGTACAACATTAACAGATCTCCTTGAGATTCACAATCAAATCCAACATGTGATTATTGTGTTAATCATCACAATTAGTAAATTTTATAATAATTAACACAATGACCACTAGACATGATATCCCCAGGTGAAAAAAGGGAAATTTCAACCAGTTTCATGATGAAAATCAAAGACTTTTTTTTATTTTACGAAAAGACGAGTTTTTTCAGTGAGCATCATGAATTATATCAATCTCAGATTACTACGCTTTTTGGACCGAATAATTTCTTCACAAAAAACAACACTTTATCTCCTTCTGCGAAAGATCTTAAGATAACGTGTTCATTATTCCATGATATGGTCAATGCTATAATATGGTAAAATATATCTGTGTAAGACAAAAAAATCAAAGAAAATATGTAAAGATCTTTAATTGTGGCGTTTTTAATCAGTGAAAGTTCTGAACTATATTTGGTTCAAATTACTTCGCCTCGTATTCCAATACTCTGAAGTGTGTGAGCTATTATGACCCTTACTCAACAACATGTTCTTTATTATTTACTGCCGTTCTGTACTGATATACCACATCCTTTATTCCATTATTTGAATCCTTCATACACAGCATCCCTGAGTCCCTCGGCACTTTGATTAAATCAAGATATCATGTTTTTATTAAGGGCTCGTCCTGGTTTCATAAGGACTGTTTGACCACCAGAGGAAACAATATTATAACAATGTGTTAGGTTTAATACAAGTCAGCTTAAATTTTAGTAACTGACGAAACACAGTGCAATTTAACAAACCTACAATGATCGGTTATTCGGAGTGAAATGATAATTTGTCTGCAACACTTTTAAATTGTTTGTTTAATGTCATTGTTATCACTTGACTATTGTTTGATCAACCATCTGATCTATGGAATGATATTTTTGAAACTACAAAATGCATACATGTGTGAATGTTTGCTTCGGATAAAGATCAGTTAATATCTGAATAAGGGTCAGTTAGTTGGTCGGCCATACCTCATTTGTTACTGTCAAACTTCACACAATCGTTCTTATGAATGATAAGTTTTGAATTTCATTGAATCGCAAGTCTAATTTTGTAAAATACTATAGTCAAACTTTATAAAACAACCACTTAGTTGTTTTTTTCCCCCTTGGATGTTAATTTAATACAGATTTGACTATACACTAAAAAACTGTTTGTGTGTTGTACAGGGGAGAACCTCGGCCTACTCCAGGGGAGGATACAGAATTAACACATTCCCATCTTTGCTACCTGGAGGCTGCAAAAGCCAACCTGGTCGCTTCAAAGGTAAGACCATTTTAGCATCAGAAGTTAAGAGTGTGTTATGCAGGGATGGATTGAGCTGTAAATGTAGCTTAATAAAGAGACAGTCTGTCCACTGTATAACAAGATAATATATAAAGAGCTAAACATTTTCTTCAGGTTGGTAAGTATGGATTATGAAAAGTTCTTTTTTTCACAACCAGTAAAATTTTCTATGCGATGTTTCGATGACTAGTACGATATGTACACTGTCTACTTCATCAGACAAATGACCAGTGAAGCATATGCACTCAAAGGTGTAAAATGTGTACAAGTTGTTGATAAAATTGATGTCAATTTCGGCTACGCTATAAGCGTATGTCCAGTAGTTGTTACATATGTACCGAAATGACTCGATTCAGCTACGCTTTGTTTAATACTTGGTCATTCTCATAGATATGCGGGAGTCTTTGAGCCCCCTCGTCTCGATTTAGAACTTGCCCACTGCTGAGTGATGGTTTGTTATCAATATAAACTTAATTGCATTTCTTTTTTTAGCTCACCTGGCCCAAAGGGCCAAGTGAGCTTATGCCATGGTGTAGTGTCTGGCGTCTGTATTTTACTTTTAAACAACTTCTTCTGTATAACAAAAAGGCCTAGGGTGATGATATTTGGCCAGAAGCAAACTGGGGAAAGGGCTTCCAAGTTTGTTCAAATGAATGACCTTGAATTATATTCAAGGTCACAGGGGTCAAATATGTTTAAAACCTTTAAACAACTTCTCAATAATCAAAAGGCCTAGGGTGATGCTATTTGGCCAGTTGCATGCTGTGATAAATGAGCTTGACTTTTATTCAAGGTCACAGGGGTCAAATATGTTTGGTACCTTTAAACAACTTCTTCTGAATAATCAAGAGGCCTAGAATAATGATATTTGGTAGTAATTTGCTGGGATGAAGGGCTACCAAGTTTGTTCAAATGAATGACCTTTACTTAAATTCAAGGTCACAGGGGTCAAATATGTTTAAAACCTTTATACAAATTCTTCTGAATAACCAAGAGGCCTAGGATAATGCTATTTGGCAAGTAGCATGCTGGGATAAAGGGCTACCAAGGTTGTTCAAATGAATGACCTTTACATATATTCAAGGTCACAGGGGTCAAACATGTTTAAAACCTATTAAACAACTACTTTTCAATAAGCAAAAGGCCAAGGGTGATGCTATTTGGTCATTAACAAGCTTGGATGAAGAACTACCAAGTTTGTTAAAATGAATGACCTTCGCCCATATTCAAGGTCATGGTGGACAACATATATTTAAATCTTTAAATGACTTGTTCTGTATAACCAAAAGGTCCAGGGTAATGATATTTTGCCAAAAGCATGCTGGGTTGGAAGACTATAATTTTTGTTCAACCAAATGACTTTGTTCGACATTCAAGGTCACAGGTGTCATATGTTTGAATCTTTATATAGGTTCTTATGAATCAAACACTGATATTCTGCCTGTAGCTGTATTTTAGTCCACTTTTAAGATTACAAATGTGAGATTAATACCAGGTGAGCGATTCAGGACCATTGGGCTTTTTGTTCATTTACAGTATGATGTAAATTTACAGTATGATGTAAAGCTATACACAATTGCTGAAATTGGATTTTGAAACAAGTTTTACAACTTATATAGATCCATCTCCACATATTTCAAATATTTTGATTAACTAGGAGAATTAGAACATGTCAAGTTGGGTGGAGCTTTTCTTTCTCTCAAAGTGTGTTTATATTCTGTCTGTACACACAAATTCCAGTTTATAATTACTATCATCAGTTTGAAATCAGTTGAAATTATATGATACATTAAAAATATGAGTTTGTTATCTTAAAATAACAAGCAATTATGTATGTTGCTCCCGTAATTATTACAGGTTTTCACAGAATTCACAGATAATTACATAATGGCACAATTTTATTACTGAATTTAGTATGAGATAACAATAAATTGTAATGTTACAAAGATTTTGTATCAAAGTTCCTGTGAGGGTTATGACCAATGTGTCATTTTCTTACTTCCGTAAGTAAAAATGCTCTGGAAATAGAATTGAGTGGTTAACACTTCGGCCTTCCAGACAGGCGGGCGGGGTTCGATCTCCGAAGTTGTCATACGCATGGATATTCAGAGAAAGTGTGTTTCTCCTGCCCACACAACTCCAACAACCCAGGTGGAGTATAAATTGGTCTGGGGTGGATGTTGCGGTATCTGTGCTGTAGCATTCAAATGAGATGGCACTATAAATGATGCCGTTGGAAGCACAGTCCCACAACAAACAGAACACATTACATCTCCAGCACACATGCAGGCATACACACATAGGGAGATATTAGCCAGGAGGCATAGAACTAGTAGTTAGCGCCTGATAAGGCAGCTCCTGCGAATTCTTCAAAAATTGTATTGATTAATGTATATGCTAATTGTTTTAATTGTATATCTTTGTACTGTGTAGCGCTTTAGAGTGGCTTATGTTAGCTAGATAGGGCGCTATATCAAATGCTGTATATTATTTAACAAAATAAATGTATCGCACAATTACATATAATTTCAAACTGATGAAAGTGATAAGATATTCTCTTACCTGGTACTTCTAGTCAGTATGTATATTTTTAGCTCAACTGGCCCGAAGTTTGTTCAAATGAATGACCTTGAATTAATATGTTGAAATCTTTAAAACGACCTCTTCTGAATAACCAAAATGCCAAGGATGTTGATATTTGGTCAGAAGCATGCTGGGATAAAGGGCTACTTACTTTGTTTAAATGAATGACCTTGACTTTTATTGAAATTCACAGGGGTCAAATATGTTTGAAACCTTTAAACAACTTCTGATGAATAACAAAAAAGGCATAGAATGATATATGGCTCATAATATGATTGGATGAAGGGCTACCAAGTTTGTTCAAATGAATTACCTTGACATTTATTTAAGGTCACATGGGTCAAATATGTTCAAAGCCTTTAAACAACTTCTTCTGAATAACCACAAGGCACAGGATGATGATATTTAGCCCATAACATGCTAGGATGATGTGCTACCAGGTTTGTTAAAATGAATTACCTTGAATTATATTCAAGGTCACATGGGTCAAATATGTTTAAAATCTTTAAATGACACCTTTGAATAACCGAAAGACACAGGGTGTTGATGTTTGGCCAGTAACATGATGGGATCAAGGGCTACCAAGTTTGTTAAAGTGAATGATCTTGACTTAAATTCAAGGTCACCGGGGTCAAATTTGTTTAATATCTTTGAATTACTTCTCCTGAATAACCATGAGGCCCAGAATGTTGATATTTAGCAAGTAGCATGCTTGAATGAAGGGCTATCAGTCTTTTTCATTTGAATAACCTTGACTCACTTTCAAGGTCACATTTGGTCAAATATGTATAAACATTTAAATGACCTAATCTTAATAAACAAAAGGATAGGGTGGTGATATTTTGAAAGTTGTATCCTGAGATGAAGGGCTATAAATTTTGTTCAACTTAATGATCTTATTCGACTTTCAAGATCACATGGGTGAAATGGTTATTTAATCTTTTAACAGGTTCTTTTGAATGACTTATAGTCATAAATACTGAAATTTTGTCTGTAGATTTATTTTAGATCACTTTTAATGTTACAAGTATGAGATTTCGATCAGTTGATCGATGCAGGCCCATTGGGCCTCTGGTTGAAATGTTTGAATGAAGTTTGACGTCACTGTTGTTCAGGGATACTAATAAGTAGAAACAGAACAAGAACTGCAATATGTAGTAACATTGTAGCATAAAGATTAACTTTGTATTGATAATATTTACCTGAATGTTTATGTTTTCATGAACGTGCTCATGACAATTTAAGGTTACAAAGAAATGATGTGTGCTTTTTGTTTTTATAGACAATGTCATTCTGGATTGTCTTTATAATGAAACTGAAGGCACCTACTATGTTCTCGACATTATGTGTTGGAAAAACCATCCTGTATATGATAGTGAGGTAAGTACATAAAACCATCCCGTATATGATAGTGAGGTAAGAACATAAAACCATCCTGTATATGATAGTGAGGTGAGTACATAAAACTCTCCCTGTATTTTGATCGTGAGGTAAGTACATAAAACTATCTTGTATATAATAGCCAGGGGAGTACATAAAACCATCCTGTATATGATAGTGAGGTGAGTACATAAAACTCTCCCTGTATTTTGATAGTGAGGTAAGTACATAAAACTATCTTGTATATAATAGCCAGGTGAGTACATAAAACCATCCTGTATATGATAGTAATGTAAGTACATAAAACCATCCTGTATATGATAGTGAGGTGAGTACATAAAACCATCTTGTATTTGATAGTGTGGCGAGTACATACAAGATAACCAGTATATGATAGCAAGTTGAGTACATTTAAAAATTACAATGTACTATGTTTGATAGTGAGGTGAAATTACCCTGGTTATGATAGTGCATGCTAATGTGATCTATTAGTTCACTCATACCATTTTGTAGCTTGACAAATATATATATATTGTATTCAGGTTTTCCTTAAAAAGTAATTAATTGTACAACATTACCTGAAAAGTAGAGATTACTTTTTCATTCATTTGATAAATTATGGTCTATTGTTATATACTACTCACATTTTGCTAAGGATCACCTATATTTTGAAAAACAAATCAAAATGTTAAAAATAATATTATATTTTCCTTCCGTATTGTTTTGGGCGAATATGTTAGCCTTCCAAATCGTCATGTGTGCACATGGGTGTGTTCAGTCAAACATAAAAGCGTGGGCACGCTTTTCCACGTGTACACCCCTTTCAAAATCTAATCTAAGCTAAGTAAGGCTTTTTCAAATTGTTAAGGAAATAAATTTGATGAATTTTTAATATGGCACAAAGACAAACCAGACAACGGTTAAATGACTGTGAAATGAACAGTGGCATCGGAATGCTGCAAGCTAGCATGTCTCAACGTCAGGTTGCAGCAGACCTTGGGGTGTCTCAAAGTGTGGTGGCAACAATGTGGAATCTTTTCCAAATCAAAGGAAACCCTTCCAGACATCATGCTAGAGGTCATTCTAGGGCTACAACACAGCACCAAGACCAATTTTTGCTCATACAGGCAAGGCGTCACAGGTTCCAGACTGCCACATCTTTACATAATGACCTCCTAAATACTTCTGGGACCGGGTAACCACTCAGACAGTTAGGAACCGTCTTCATGATGCTGGTTTAAGGTCACGTAGACCAGCAATACGAGTTCACTTAACTGCCCGCCATGTTCGGGACCGATTAGATTGCGCCCAAGCTCACAGCACTTGGACTCTTCAGGAATGGGAACCAGTTCTTTTTACTGACGACTCCAGATTATGTCTCGACTTCACCGACTTCACCGACAGGCGCGTTAGAGTGTGGAGACAACCTGGGGAGAGGTTCCAGGCAGGTAACGTTGTGGAATGTGACTGATATGGCGGAGGTTCAGTGATGGTGTGGGAAGACATAAGCCTTGTGGGGAAAACTGACCTCCATGTCTTCCATAATGGTACCGTTTCAGCCCGGATTTACTGTGATGAAATCCTTGATGTCTATGTCAGACCCTACCCTGCTGCAATTGGCCCTGACTTCATCCTTATGGGCGATAATGCTAGGCCACATAGAGCAAGGGTGACTGAGCAGTATCTACAGCAAGAGACTATTCAACGAATGAATTGGCCAGCCTGCTCGCCGGATCTAATTCCCATCGAGCATGTGTGGGACATGCTGCATACAGCTCTCTCTGCCAGAAATGTTCGGCCAAGAACGCTCCAGGAGCTGGGAACAGCTTTGGTAGCTGAGTGGAACGCTATACCACAAAACCGGATTCGCAATCTCATTCGGGGAATGCGCAGACGTTGTGAAGCTGTAATTGATGCTCATGGGCGTCACACTCGATACTAAAATAGTTTCTATTTATTTAGGATGAGTTTTGTTCAATTTAAGTTTTTTAGTGAATACCTCGTTGTTACCATTGTTAATGGTAACTCTTTTCCTGTGACTCCTTTTCCGACTGTAATTACGATTTTTGGAATGTTTGCACGCTGTTGAATTAAAAGAACAATCAATTTTTCAAAAATAATTTCATCATAAACCAAATAAAATATTTATTTTCACATATGCCCAAAAATAAAAGTGATCCTTAGCAAAATGTGAGTAGTATATATTACAGTACCATTTCATTTAACTTAGTTACTATATAATAATATATTGTAATAGGCATTCATCTGTATTTTTCTTTTGTGTTAGACATCCCTGTCATATCCTTAAATAACCTTAGCTGTTAATAGGACGTTAAGCAAAATAAAATAACCAAACCGTTCAAAACTCCTTTACAACAAACTTGTCACAAGATATTATCACTGTTATCTCTAGTACTGTACTGTAGTTAATTACTCTGTTAACATTGGCTGCAATGTTTGAACTTTGATCTTAGATGACTATCTCTTACTGAAATTGAATACATTCTACTTCCTTAATAGAAATCATTTCTCAGATGCTTGGTAGACTGTCTTAGACATGTATTTATTTTTTGTAATAAACACAGAAACCTCCAGTTTTCTACATTTTTCTAGCCAAATCATAATAGCAGAGAACACGGAACAGTGAAATTGCCATAAGTTAAGACTGAAAATTAAATTATGTTTTCTCCTTACAGACAGAATTTCGATTTTACTGGCTGCACAGTAAATTCTCAGAAGAACCAGAACTTAGTCAGAAATCTGATGGAAATCCTGTAAGTATAAAGCAGTAATTCAGTGTAAAATTACAGCTACCTCGACCTTGCCTAGCATGGTGTAGTATAGGCAGATCTAAACTACCATATCCCTGTCTATTATATCAGTGACATCACCTTTTGTAAGAATTTGTGTCCTATATATGTTAGGTCACTGTAACTATGAGTAAAATTTTGACTTTGTCACTCTGTAGACTATATTTCTTATCAAATGAGAAACGAAGTCATTTTTAACAAACATAGAATTTATGCGTCATTGCTCTACACTGTACTTGATTTATTTCCTGGTTGTCATATACGTGTTTACAAACATCGCCTTTTGCACAAGTTTGCGTTTCCATATTCTGGTTAAAAAAATTGTGAAAAATCAAAAACGTCAATGATTCCAATTCCAACACATTCAATTTGTATAATATTTGTGCCCTTCTTGTAGCATTTTAATAAAATAATGTTTCGGGAGTAAAAGCAGTAGAGAAGGATATTTCTAAATGTATCGGGAGTAAAAGCAGTACAGAAGGATATTTCTAAATGTATCGGTAGTAAAAGCAGTAGAGAAGGATATTTCGAAATGTATCGGGAGTAAAAGCAGTACAGAAGGATATTTCTAAATGTATCGGTAGTAAAAGCAGTAGAGAAGGATATTTATAAATGTATCGGGAGTAAAAGCAGTAGAGTAGGATATTTCTAAATGTTTCAGGAGTAAAAACAGTAGAGAAGGATATTTCTAAATGCTTCAGGAGTAAAAGCAGTAGAGAAGTTTATTTCTAAATGTTTCAGGAGTAAAAGCAGTAGAGATGGATATTTCTAAATGTTTCGGGAGTAAAAGCAGTAGTGAAGGATATTTCTAAATGTATCGGGAGTAAAAGCTGTAGAGAAGGATATTTCTAAATGTTTCAGGAGTAAAAGCAGTAGAGATGGATATTTCTAAATGTTTCGGGAGTAAAAGCAGTAGTGAAGGATATTTCTAAATGTATCGGGAGTAAAAGCTGTAGAGAAGGATATTTCTAAATGTATCGGTAGTAAAAGCAGTAGAGAAGGATATTACTAAATGTATCGGGAGTAAAAGCAGGAGAGAAGGATATTTCTAAATGTTTCAAGAGTAAAAGCAGTAGAGAAGGATATTACTAAATGTATCGGGAGTAAAAGCAGGAGAGAAGGATATTTCTAAATGTTTCAGGAGTAAAAGCAGTAGAGATGGATATTTCTAAATGTTTCGGGAGTAAAAGCAGTAGTGAAGGATATTTCTAAATGTATCGGGAGTAAAAGCTGTAGAGAAGGATATTTCTAAATGTTTCGGGAGTAAAAGCAGTAGTGAAGGATATTTCTAAATGTATCGGGAGTAAAAGCAGGAGAGAAGGATATTTCTAAATGTTTCGGGAATAAAAGCAGTAGAGAAGGATATTTCGAAATGTATCGGGAGTAAAAGCAGTACAGAAGGATATTTCTAAATGTATCGGGAGTAAAAGCAGTACAGAAGGATATTTCTAAATGTATCGGTAGTAAAAGCAGTAGAGAAGGATATTTATAAATGTATCGGGAGTAAAAGCAGTACAGAAGGATATTTCTAAATGTATCGGTAGTAAAAGCAGTAGAGAAGGATATTCCTAAATGTATCGGGAGTAAAAGCAGTAGAGAAGGATATTTCTAAATTGATCACATGTTCAGTGGATCACTTTAAGCAAAGAAAATGGGGTGACCATGTCCTCCTTTGTTTTTGAAGGATACATTATATTGAAGTTATTTTGTCAGTGATCAGCCCTGAACTTTACTTATGTATATGATTTTCTATTTTCAGTATAAATTTGTTGCGTTACCAAACTTTGCCTGTACACCTGAGTCCATCAGCAGCGCTGTAAATACAGCAAACTTTGAGGTATGGATTTTTCATCACTGATTCCTTTATCTATAAGTGTTAAACTAAATTAAAACTAAATTGCCTATGATCATTACTTCCATGATATTAATTTTTACCCCACCCAATTCTCCACCCTGTCTACAATGTAATTAGGAGGAGGGGGGGGGGGGTATGTCAGGTAGTCGGGACTAAACAGCATGTCTCTTGGGTCCATACCTCTACATTTGTCATGGTTAGAGATAAAATTACAGTCTGAAATTTATTATATTGAACTTTTTGTTAGCTAATATTTCGTTTTAAACTTCTATACCTGATAGGCTGGTGTATTAATTACTTCCATCGATTAACTAATAGTACAAGAGGAAACTCGGGAAAAAAAATCCATATCGGTCAACAACATCCCTGAGGAGAAATTATTTCACATTTTGTACAGTCAAAACCTGGAACAACCTTCCAGAAGATGTTGTATCCGCTCCAAATATCAATACTTTTAAGAACAGAATGGATGAACTTTGGCAAGATGAAGAAATTTACTATAATTATAGGGCAAATGTAATTTACAATGAACTTAAAGTTTATATTATACAATAGATTAATTTTTGAGTCCAGTGTAGAGGAGCTTTATCGGCTCCTGTATTGGAAACTGACTTTAACTTTAAACTAGACTATCTGGTGCTCTGCTGTTTTTCAACAAAAAAGAATAGGTGAATTTATTAAAACCAATCTTGAATTTTATATAGATGTGCAATATATATAGTATATAGATTACTGTGACCTTAACCTCTATGTCAAAGGTTAAGGGTGGTTGGGTAGCACAGCGGATAATGTGCTTATCTTTCACCAAGGCAGCCAGGGTTAGGTTCCCTAATCAGAAGTGAAAAGGTATGGGGTCACCTACCTGACCATGTGTTTACTCTGGTTTCCTCCAACAATAAGACCCCCCTGGGTGCTAACATTCGGGCCAAAAAGAGTGATTCATATATGTTGAAATATTTGTTTCATAAACAAACAATTGTTTAGCCCACCATCTATTGATCATGAAATCGCCTGTCTTCTGCCGTCCGTCCTTAAACAATTCATATTATCACTATTTCTAAGAAAGTGCTGAAAGGGTCTTTCTCAAATTTGATATGTGGATTCCCCTTGGTCTGTAGTTGTGCATGTTTAATTTTGAGACAGCTCAGATAATCAAAATGGCCGACAGGCGGCCATCTTGGATTTGACAGTGAATGTTTGTTATCACTTTTAAGGAAGAACTGCAGGAATCAATTTGATATGAAAGTTCCCTTGGTCTGTAGCTGCGCATGAACGAAATGGCCGACAGTCGGCCATCTTGGATTTTGACAGTGAATGTTTGTTATCGTTATTTCTCAGGAAGCACTTGAAGGATCATTCTTAAATTGAGCATGTTTAATCTTGAGACAGATTGAATGAGAAAAATTGCCAACAGGAGGTCATCTTGGATATTTGACAGTGAATGTTTGTTTTTGCTAGTTCTCGGGAAATACTGAAAGGATCTTTCACAAATTAGTTCCATAGGTTCTCCTTGGTCCTTAATTGTGCATGTTTAATGTGAGATTTGATAGAATAAACAAAATAGTTACCTCGAGGTGCATTTACTGTTTACATGACTCAATCAAACAGATAAGAGAATAGAAGAGAAAAGATCGAACTGACATATATCTAATGAAGATGGTACAATGGTGGGCACCAAGATCCCTCTATCATAGTTCTTGGTATCATTAAGAAATCTGAGATGGTCAAGGTAATCTTGCATTATCAGAAATATTTCAGTTCAGCTTCTTCTCTAGTTCATATACAAAAAGCAGATGAGGGCTACAGGCCTAATGGGTTGTTATACGTGTTTGTGGTTAAAAGTAACTGATATTAAATATAATAAACTCACAAATGTTGGTAGGTTCAGCATGTTTACTGCTTTGAAATACTCTTCGATCAGTTGCTCAATTATTTAATTATTTGGAGAAGTTCTGTAGTGTTAAGTTTTTGATATTTTTCTAAAACTGACAGTTGTTTTGTATGTTTATTGTTGTCTAGATTGATGGAATACTGTTTTACCACAAGAGGACACACTACACATTTGGATCAACACCTCTGGTGGTCTGGTTAAAACCTTACATGTTGCCAGAAATTCTCAAGATTCAAGTGACAGACAAAATAATGGAGGCAAAACCTGACTCCTACACTGACTACGCTGCCCACATGACAGTGGTGGCAGAAGAGAAGGAGAAAGCAAAGGAACTGAGAAAACAGAAAGGAAGTGAGAAACAACCGGGGGTGAAAATACTGCAGAGAGAACAGGGTAAAGGGGATGCTGGTGAGCAGGGAGTCAAAAGCAATAAGCAAACATCTGGTGGTGGAGGAGGAGGAGGCAGACGTGGCAAGGGCAGGAGGAAAAGAGGCGGAGCCGAGGCCCACATGGATGTGAGTTATGACGATGATGGTACATTAGAAAGTGTGCAAGAGGAAGGTATTGGAGTGATGGAGGCAATAGAGGCCCCTGTTGGGACCTAAATATAAGTGTGAATTTGCTTTATACATTACAAAAAAATATCCTGCCTTTGCTGGATTCAGAATCTGATGCAAATGAGAGAAGGCATGTAGATGTATCGCTGGCCTTGGTCTTTTACGTACAGGACATTGAGTGGTGTCTCAATAAAATTTCTTCAGTGTACAGGATAATGGAACTTGTACATGTCTCTGTGTTAGGATCTTGAAAGCTTCGGGCATTTAGATGTTGCAGATGTCTTAATGAATACCTAAGAGAATTTCAGAAGGCCTTTCTCATGTTATTGCTCTCATCAAGTCATTCCAGGAGAACTTCAGATACCACAATTTAGTTTGATTTTATTTACAACTTATAACAGCATTTTTAGCTTTGCTGATGTTAAAAACACATTTACCAGTCATAGACAAATTTTACAGGTGTACATTTTAAAATGCTGACTCTGCAATAGTAATAAATGAGGTATTATAGCTTGTGGGATTCATTGAATATTCATTGAGTCATCTCAAAAATTCCGTCCGCAAGAAAAGTGGAATGAACAGAAAGTCTTGTTCTGTACTTAGAATGACTGATTTGTTATTTGTTGTCACTTGTAAATGTTACAAATTGTCTTGGTATACCAAAGGCTGAGCGTTATTTGGTTCCAACACTACATTGACAACTTAATGTACATTAAAAAAGTCAGACTAGAAGTGATTTCACAAGCACAGAATTACAATTACAGCTGATCAGAAAGATCTGACCATTGTTCCACAAATATGAGCTGAAATGTTGCTTCTTATATGACTTGTTATTCAAAATGTTTATTTACTAGTAAGTTCCAATGTCTAAATATGATAGATATTATAAATCTGAGGATGTCTGTCAACAGGGTTTTTTGGTTACTCAACTTCTTCAACCAGATACAATTCACATACCTGCCCAAAGCTCCTTAGATTTTACTACATATGTATTACACACATTGTGTTCACTTCAGTGTGTTCCAGCATTGTGTTCGTATGTACTTTTCTTCTTCTTTTTTTGAAAAAAGACTTATGGTTATCTTGACTTTAAAGTTTTCCAGGTTAGTTGATATCACTTCAATAGAAACAAACTACATGTTAGTCCTGGTCTTTTCTGACCTGCATCATTTGTGATTCAGTTCTTTGACATAAATAGGTATACAATTATCAAAAACAAATATCACATATAAACTAAGAAGCATGCAAAAATGTTTTTTTAGGAAAAAGTAAGAGCAGCCATAATTATCTTCTTTTCTTTACTGAGAAACAAAGTTAGTGTCAAGATTTATTTTTTCTAGATTCTTAACCAAAAGTAGATTTTTAATCATTATCATAGTTATAATATTATTATAAATGTGAGTCAAACATTTTCCTCACAATTGTGAAATTGTGGTGGAAATTTTGTTAATAAAAGTCAGATTTAAAAAAAAATATGTTGTAAGTTTTATTTGTTCGCCTGTGTTCAAACTTGGTTTACAACTACCTAGGTGCTATAACTGTCCAAGTGTATGGGTAATTCTATAGCACAGTCACATCGCCCTAGACATATTATATTTCCATCCCAAATTTGGTTGCTATCTTACAGCACTAGATATCCTACTCCAAGTTTGAAAACCAGATCATAATTCTTTTATGTTGCTATATTAAATTGGCTATCACCAATACATACAAGCTTAGTGAACATCATCAGTATTAACATTTTATTAAGTATTAAAATGCTAAAACTATTTTTACCATTATGGATCAGAGCCATGCTAAAGGAACACATTTAGATTACAAATTGAGTGTAGGACTTGGTAATATTGTAAAGTAAGTTCAGAAACACACTATAACACTCCAAACTTTGTTCAGGAACACATTTAGATTACAAATTGAGTGTAGGACTTGGTAATATTGTAAAGTAAGTTCAGAAACACACTTACACTCCAAACTTTGTTCAGGAACACGCCAACAGTACAAAATACGAGAACAAATGTACGCTAGCAGTGCAAAGTAAGTAGAGCAGCAAGCTTACACGTCACTGTTAATACAGTGCAATCTTAGCACAGGAACACGCTAACAACACCAAGTTCGCCTGTATGTAAGTGTTTGAACACCATGATTAAAAAATCAAAATTGTTAGATTGATTTTTTTTTCGGGAGTATGCTAAAATTACTATCTGTGCAGGAATATGCTAACGGTACAAAGGAAGTGCATGAACATGTAAATATTACAAAGTAATGGTTATCTTTGGTGGTCTTTAGTGTCACAGAAAAAAGGAAACACTTGTTCAACTTTTGACAATAAAATGTCCTGTTAATAATGTACATGATCAAGTCAATCTTAATTCTTCAGTGTATTAAGTGTGTAAATACAGTGTATAAGTATGTTGATATGATGGTACATCATGCTGCATAAACTTCAGACATTAAGGAGGAACTGTTTTTCCAAATATACGTCTGCTGAAATACGATTACACATTATATATTTAGTTCATAATCTTTAGGCCAAATAACTATCAATTTTTGTCTAGGCCTTTAATTATAAAAGTGTCACCTAAAAAATGCTCATTGATTTGTGCTATTCACTCCATATTTTGAAAACTATCAGTCTATGAGCATGCAATGCATTACACTGGTTTTTTAAATATAGATGGAATACAAGAACATCAAAGTGAAATAATGAATTTGGTTACAAACAATGTTCCTTTCCTCGTGGGAACTACATACACTGGTAAAAAAAGAAGATTAAACTGCCATTTCAAAACTTTCTTGAAATATTCCTGTAATAAATTATTGTAATTGTGCACTATAAGATGATGAGTCTCCTTCTTGTTTTGAATTGAAAAAAGTAAACAATGTCTGCCCTGACAAGATCATGTTCATAAACATTGTCTAAACAGTAAGGGTAATTGATAAGTGTTAGAGACGAGGCATCACAGTTGTCAGAAAAAAACATACTTTTATTTCTTGATTGATTAGTATTTCAGCACAACAACTTTTCATTTCTGAAATATTCTAAAGCATATTTTAATTTATATGCCTAAGCCATGAATTAAACTTCCCTTGGCATGAGGCATTGTACATGCATTAACAGTGTGCTCTTCTGTCTATCTGCCATCTGCAAAATGGTTTAAATTATTTTCAAATCTTGAAATTTCTGGAAGTAATAAGTAGAATATAGCCAAACTTTCTAAACTCCTGTTTAAATTGATATCAGCAAGAAGTGTGAAAGCTACTAAAGTTATCAGTATAAGATTTCTAGATCACTTGGTTATAAAAATGAATAATTTATTTCTCGCACAACATTAACTGGAATATATTACCAAACTTGCTACAGCTGTTCATCAACACATCAACAAGAGATGGGGAAGGCTGTGAAGGCTAGAGGTCAAAGGTAACCTGGTCAATATTCTGCATGTCAAAAATAACCCATTTAATGTTCTTTCAAATCAAGGGTAACACTGGCAATGTGCCGAAGTTCAGAGTTAATCAAGTCAATGTCCTGAAGGTCAAAGGTTAACTCAAACTTAGATAATATCCTGAAGGTCAGAAGTAAGCCAGTCAATGCCATGAGGTGGAAGATATTCCAGTCATTATCCCGAACGTCAAAGATAACACTGTCAATGTCCTAAAGGTCAAAGATTACCCTGTTGATGCTTTAAAGGTTAAGGACAACATAGTACATGACCTGAAGATCAAAAGTAACCCCAGGCAAAATCCAAAAGGCCAAAAATAACTAAGTCAAAACCTTTGTACTTTTTGACAGGTGATGTTTTCTGAGTGGATGACAGACGTACCAGAGGATCTAGCTAAAAACTGGTTCATGATGATCTGTCCTAAAGGCAAGCGGAACCTGGTGATATCAGCACAGGTAGGTACTACTAGACAGGTATAAAATATTACACAGGTATATAATATAATACAGGTAGGTACTACTAAACAGGTATATAATATAACACAGGTAGGTACTACTAGACGGGTATAAAATACTACACAGGTATATAACATAACACAGGTAGGTACTACTAGACAGGTATAAAATACTACACAGGTAGGTACTACTACACAGGTATAAAATACTACACAGGTATAAAATACTACACAGGGAGGTACTATTAGACAGGTATACAATACTACACAGGTAGGTACTACTACACAGGTATACAATACTACACAGGGAGGTACTACTAGACATGTATATACTACTACACAGGTAGGTACTACTAGACAGGTATATGATACTACACAGGTAGGTGCTACTAGACAGGTATATAATACTACACAGGTAGGTACTACTAGACAGGTATTAAACAGGTATAAAATACTACACAGGGAGGTACTACTAGACAGGTATATAATACTACACATGGAGGTACTACGGTAGGTACTACTAAACAGGTATAAAATACTACACAGGTAGGTACTACTACACAGGTATAAAATACTAGACAGGTATAAAATACTACACAGGGAGGTACTACTAGACAGGTATACAATACTACACAGGTAGGTACTACTACACAGGGATAAAATACTACACAGAGAGGTACAACTAGACAGGTATAGAATACTACACAGAGAGGTACAACTAGACAGGTATAAAATACTACACAGAGAGGTACTACTAGACAGGTATATAATACTATACAGGGAGGTACTACTACACAGGTATAAAATACTACACAGGTATATATTATAACACAGGTAGGTACTACTAAATAGGTATATAATATAACACAGGTAGGTACTACTAACCAGGTATATAATATAACACAGGTAGGTACTACTAGACAGGTATAAAATACTACACATGGAGGTACTACTAGACAAGTATATAATACTACACAGGTAGGTACTACTAGACAAGTATATAATACTACACAGGTATACAATACTACACAGGTAGGTACTACTAGACAGGTATATAATACTACATAGGGAGGTACTACTAGACAGGTATAAAATACTACACATGGAGGTACTACTAGACAAGTATATAATACTACACAGGTAGGTACTACTAGACAAGTATAAATACTACACAGGTAGGTACTACTAGACAAGTATATAATACTACACAGGTAGGTACTACTAGAAAAGAATAAAATACTACACATGGAGGTACTACTAGACAAGTATATAATACTACACAGGTAGGTACTACTAGAAAAGAATAAAATACTACACATGGAGGTACTACTAGACAAGTATATAATACTACACAGGTATACAATACTACACAGGTAGGTACTACTACACAGGGATAAAATACTACACAGAGAGGTACAACTAGACAGGTATAGAATACTACACAGAGAGGTACAACTAGACAGGTATAGAATACTACACAGAGAGGTACAACTAGACAGGTATAGAATACTACACAGAGAGGTACAACTAGACAGGTATAGAATACTACACAGAGAGGTACAACTAGACAGGTATAGAATACTACACAGAGAGGTACAACTAGACAGGTATAGAATACTACACAGAGAGGTACAACTAGACAGGTATAGAATACTACACAGAGAGGTACTACTAGACAGGTATAAAATACTACACAGGTTTATAATATAACACAGGTAGGTACTACTAAACAGGTATATAATATAACACAAGTAGGTACTACTACACAGGTATAAAATACTACACAGGGAGGTACTACTAGACAGGTATATAATACTACACAGGTAGGTACTACTAGACAAGTATATAATACTACACAGGCAGATATAACACAGGTAGGTACTACTAGACAGGTATAAAATACTACACAGGTAGGTACTACTACACAGGTATACAATACTACACAGGGAGGTACTACTAGACAGGTATATACTACTACACAGGTAGGTACTACTAGACAGGTATATAATACTACACAGGTAGGTACTACTAGAAAAGAATAAAATACTACACATGGAGGTACTACTAGACAAGTATATAATACTTCACAGGTATAGAATACTACACAGGGAGGTACTACTAGACAGGTATATAATACTACACATGGAGGTACTACTAGACAAGAATATAATACTACACAGGTATAGAATACTACACAGGTATATAATATAACACAGGTAGGTACTACTAGACAGGTATAAAATACTACACAGAGAGGTACAACTAGACAGGTATAGAATACTACACAGGGAGGAACTACTAGACAGGTATATAATACTACATAGGGAGGGACTACTAGACAGGTATAAAATACTACACAGGTTTATAATATAACACAGGTAGGTACTACTAGACAGGCATATAATATAACACAGGTAGGTACTACTAGACAAGTATATAATACTACACAGGTATAGAATACTACACAGGGAGGTATACTACTAGACAGGTATAAAATACTACACATGGAGGTACTACTAGACAAGTATATAATACTACACAGGTAGGTTCTACTAGACAGTTATATAATACAACACGGGTAGGAACTATTAGACAGGTATATAATACAACACAGGTAGTAACTACTACACGGGTATAAAATACTACACAGGTAGGTACTACTAGACAGGTATATAATTCAACACGGGTAGGAACTATTAGACAGGTATATAATACTACACAGGTAGGTACTACTAGACAGGTATATAATACTACACAGGTAGGTACTACTAGACAGGTATATAATACTACACAGGTAGGTACTACTAGACAGGTATATAATACTACACAGGTAGGTACTACTAGACAGGTATATAATACTACACAGGTAGGTACTACTAGACAGGTATATAATACTACACAGGTAGGTACTACTAGACAGGTATATAATACTACACAGGTAGGTACTACTAGACAGGTATATAATACTACACAGGTAGGTACTACTAGACAGGTATATAATACTACACAGGTAGGTACTACTAGACAGGTATATAATACTACACATGGAGGTACTACTAGATAGGTATACAATACTACACAGGGAGGTACTACTAGATAGGTATACAATACTACACAGGGAGGTACTACTAGATAGGTATACAATACTACACAGGGAGGTACTACTAGATAGGTATACAATACTACACAGGGAGGTACTACTAGATAGGTATACAATACTTCACAGGTAGGTACTACTAGATAGGTATACAATACTTCACAGGTAGGTACTACTAGATAGGTATACAATACTACACAGGTAGGTACTACTAGAAAAGAATAAAATACAACACAGGGAGGAACTACTACACATGGAGGTACTACTAGACAGGTATACAATACGACACAGGGAGGTACTACTAGACAGGTATACAATACGACACATGTAGGTACTACTACACAGGTATAAAATTCTGAACCTTCTCAAAATACTAAACAGGTAGATACTGATAGAGACAGCAGTTGTTAGCTTTACATTAGTCCATCTAACACAAAGTTAATGTGTGTTTCAGTCTTTAGATATCTAGACATTACAAAATAGAGGATTTCACATAACTTAGTTCCCATTTCTTTGGAGATCTATGAACCAAGTCCAAGATATTTGTCCATGTATTATCTGTCTGCATAGTACATATGCCTGTTCACAAGTATACCGGTAATTCAATACACATGTAAATGTCTTACCTCGTTGTATATTAAGTCAACATTATGTGTTTAAGGGAAGAACATTCACCCAGTCTAAACAGGGCATGCTACTGGAGGACTTCCCGTCTTGTCTGCCTGGTGGAAACGTTGGAGACCAGAAAGGTCAGTAGGAACTAGAAGGAAAATGCATTTTGGATCCTAGCTAGCAGCTTTGTTTTGAGTTAATGGTGTGAGGATTTTCTAGTCTGTCATGTCAAGTATTGTTTTAGCTTTTAGGGATTTACATGTTGTATACTGGCGTAGGAATTTTCTTGATTTTTTGAAGGAATGTCAAGTGGGATACTGGTGTAAGAATTTGCTTGATCTGTCATGGGAATGTCAAGTCAGGTACTGTTTAAGGGATTGATGTATTGGAGAATTTCAATGCTAAACCTGGTGTGATGATTTCCTTGATATGTTGTAGGAATGTCGGTGCTGGACTGTATCTATGACAAGAAGGATGATGTGTACTATGTATTGGATATGATGTTTTGGAAGAATCAAGACATGACCGACTGTGATGTAAGTCTATCCTACCATTTCTCACACCCTTCACAGGTGTTCTCACACCCTTCACGTGTGTTCTCACACCCTTCACAGGTGTTCTCACACCCTTCACAGGTGTTCTCACACCCCTCACGGGTGTGTCTCGCGTTTTAGCTGGGCAAGATTGGCTTGTTATCCCCTAGGGGGAGATAGCCTCATGCCGAATCCCTAACACTAAGTTGTGATGTCAAGAACAGTGAATTATTCACTTGACAAATGTGCTTTTGTTTACAAACATGCCAGACTACTGTTGATGGAGTTGTGACTGAAATGATAGGATGGCAGAAAAACAATAAACCTGTATCTTGGAGGTGAATAAAGAAATCACCAACCCACGGGATGTTATTTGTTTATCTAACTGTCAAAGCAGAGCTTTTGGTTAGACAAAAACAACAAATCCTCTCTTGGGTTTAGAGATTTCTCTGTCATACCCTCAAGGTAGGGGAGATTCTATTTACTGACCTTGTGCATATGTTTGCAGATGGTCACTCCTCTTGTGACTCACAATATGATATATATTATACCCTATGTATTTGTGTATAATAATGACTTGGCAGGGTATGCGTTTACTGAAATAAAATAGAACACTTAGTACTTCCTCCTTGTTCAGCACTGGTCCAATGCTTCCATGAAAGCAATTTGTGTTACATTGGTATAAATACAGGCAACATTAAAGCTAGGTGAAGCACCGAGATGAGTTCCTGTGTACTGTAGATATATAGTATATTATGAATAAATTTGAGTGATAAAACTTTATAATCCAAAGTTCACTATATTTTCTCTCTGCCCTTACTGTGCTCAATAATTGCTGCTGATTAATATCTTATACTTGACAATGTGTAAAACTGAAAAGGCTTTGTGTTTGTCAAGGTGATTATTCTAAACTTACAGTAACGATATGTTTGTGTGTAACTATTTGAATATCATTTATTCAGAGTGAGTTCCGTATTTTTTGGATGAATGAGCGACTAGGAGAGCAGAAGAGTATAACCAGACGGTCCAACGTCAACCCTGTAAGTATATAAGCCTGTCAACCATGTAAGTAAATGAACGTCTGTCAACTTTTCACTAAAAGCCTACTAGTCCAGAATGGCTGAATGGATTTTGACCAAATTTTGTGTGGAACATTACTAGGCTAACAGAAATCAATTCTGTATAAAATAAAATAAAGGGTCTGGTCCCTCTGGGGGAAGAGGTTTGGGCCCAATAGGCAAAACATTGGTAAATTTTTCAAATCCTTGAGTATCTGTGAAGGGATTTTAATCTCAACTGGTCTGGAGGATTTCTGGGCCAAGAGAACTCATGTTTTGTAAATGTTAAGACTACCCCTTTCGAGTAGAGGTGTGGGGCCCAATAGGAGATACATCTAGTAAATCATCAAAATCCTGTTTCTTGAGTATCAGGAAATGGATTTTAATTTAAATTGGAGCATCCTTGGGCCAAGGGGGTTTAACTTGTTTAAGTGAAAGGTGTGCCTCCCCCCTCCCCAGGGGAAGAGGGACGTGACCGTGACCTTGTAGGGGAAATATATGGGGGGGAGGGGGTGCAGAGGGATGGAGCCAAATAAGGGGAATCTGTAAAGTTGTACTTCTTGAATGAAGGAAAAGAGTTTGACCCAAATTGATCTAGTGACTCAACCCCGTGTAAATGAAAGGTGGTGTCGCCCTGGTGGTAGAGGGATTAGGCCCATTAAGAGAAAGATAAGTGATTTTTGAAAATCTTACTTCTTGAAAATGGGAAAAGGATTTAAACCTCACTTGTATAGTCTGTATCATCCTTAGGTCAAAGAGGTTCAACTTTGGATATATGGTGGATGTGGCTATCCTAGGAGCAGAGGGTTTAGTCCTAATAGGGAGAATATAGGAAAATCTTTAAAATCATACTCCTTGAGCAGGAGTAAGAAATTTAACGTTCTTGAAATCAATTTGTCTTGTTTCATATAAAAAAAAATACATGTATAGCAGGTGAGCTGTAAAAGCCCCTGGGCCTCTTGTTGAAATTCATTAAAATAGCAGTTCATCATAATGTTAAAAATTGTCATAGTTGCTAAAATTTATTTAATCTCCTGCTACATCCAAATTCCAGAGGTTATGCTGGTTTACGTTCTCTGCACTCCTGGAATATGTCATGACAAAGTGGAAGTCACACAGCCATTTTCGTGGTTTCAGGTAAAAAGACACTGACAAATCACTAAGCCGATAGCTGTCCTTTGAAGATTACAGTGAGCAACCCCCGACTTAAAAGCCAGTGTCTGCATCCAGTTTGTCATGATATTTTCAAGGGGTGCATGTGAACATGAGAAAATGTAACCCCTGGAAGTTTGAGGAAGCGCCACATTAGTGGAAGGGGCTTCAGGTGTTTACATTTTCAGTCTGTTCATTAGTTCATCTGTATGACATCTTCATTAGACTCTGCATTTAGCTCTATTATCTCTGATATGAGAAGTCTCAGTTCATCAAACTTTATTTGCATATAGATACATCTTCAGGAGTTCTACACCACCATTATCTAAAATGTAGGTCACTGTTACCTATTTTTTCTGCTTTAATGACTTTGGTTAGACTTTTGTGTAGCTCCATAATTCTAATACTAGGGGTCCAATATTCACCAAACTTGATACGTGGACACATCTTGAGTACTACACCATTATTTTAAATGTAGGTCACTGTGACCTATATTTTCTGCTTCACTTATTTGACTGTTTTATTCCATTTCAATCAATGCTGGAACTTGGGCATATGTATGCTTTACAAACATTTTCTAGTTTACAATTACAGCCTGTATTATTTGCTATAATTACAGCTAATGCTATTGCTTATAACTACATGTACATATTTAATATACGTAGTGTTGACTATATGTATGATATATTGTTGACAACTTATGATTTACTATCTAATGTTTTGTTTAATTACAGCACAAGTTTGTTCCACTGAAGCCTGTTGCCTGTACAAAGAAAATGCTCAGCCTGGCCATGAACTCCACCAACTTTGATGTATGTCGATGTATAGATATTATATACAATTTTAATTCAATACAATTGCATTTATGACCTGACTTCAACTTTGGCTATATGGAAGACATACAAATCAGACAACACCTTACTTTTCATATTTAGATTTGCATCCATTTTTTTTGTCCAATGGCAGGATTCTTGACAAAGTTGCTGTCATGTGTTGTATGTTTTCTCATATACCTGATATCACCAAATCAGGGAGGATAAATATCTCGGAAGACGATGCAGTTCAAAAAGTGTTTGTGAAAATAATGACAGCTTAATTGGTGGTCGAGATATTTTACCAGCTATATCTCAATTTTAACAGGGCAATATAAGTCAAAGTACACTTTACTATGACAATATTTCTGTAGAAAATTGCAAAGATTTTATATTTAATGCGATTACTGAGTCCACTTATAATAATTTTAATGTATTATAGTTTGATTCCCTACATCATGGAATATCTCTGATCTGATATCCTGTTATATAATGTAAACATTAAGGAATCACTGAGTTAGATTTATTAGTATAGTACCTCTGTTATTATTGTAGGTGGATGGTGTTCTCTTCTACCACAAGACCCTTCCTTATAGGCCAGGCATCTCCTCTCAAATTCTTTGGTTGAAGCCATACATGATGTCGGAGGCTCTTGAGGTGGAGGTTCCTTCACATATGAGTGTAGCACCATCCATTTACACATCATTCGCAGACCACGTTGCTTTGGTGAAAGAGGAGCTAGGGGAAAAGAAATCAACTAGGACAGGTGGACGCCATAAGGACAAACCATGCATTGACATTGATAAGATCGTGGAAGACATTGGGGATCTGTACATCAGTAAGAGAGAGATGGAGGCCAACACTATTGGGCCAGTACCCATGCGCAACCGCACACAGACTAGTGTGTGGAGACCTGAGCATTCCAGCAGGAGACAAGGTGATGGACTCCTTGGTGACCCCAGACAAATGTATGGGGCCGATTATTACGGTCAAGGAAGCTTTTACCAAGGACATTACAACCAGTGGTGTAACAATCAGGGTTATAATAACCAGGCTGGCTATTGTGACCAGGGCTATACGGGATACCAAGCCTGGAATAGCCAGAACTACAGCCGTGCTAACAATCTGCCTGCTGTGGGGGTCCAGGGTGCCTGGGGCTACGAGGATCACAAGAAAGCACGACAACCAAAGGGAAGGGGAGGCTTGCTCAAGCTTAGTGCCATGGATTCCTACAAGAAAACACACAAGATATTCAAGGAGTAAAAACAGCTGGTTTAAAATTGTATATTTGTGTGCTTAAGTGTGAAAATGCTGGTGCAACCACTGGATATGGCAAATGTGTGAGAATGTTCTTGTGTTTGTTAAGTGTTATACTGGTGCTTATAAATTTAAGCTGTGCTGAGTTGAGGAGACCATTCCTTTTTGGATTTACTGTGAAAGGAAATACATTTACAACATAAACAAATGTATTCTTTTTTCTCAAGTTTAGAAATCTTCAGTAATAATTGTGTTAATCAGGTCAAATCATGAATATGTTACAGAAACGTGCCTGAATAAATTTTGTTAATAATTGATGTGTTCTGCAGTGTTTGGTATATTCATTCAATGTATATTTCATGTGAAATGAAATCCTAGCTGATTGATAGATGTAATAGTTGGCCGATTCACAAGCTCCTGTTTTTATCAGATCACAATCAATATCTTGCCAATAAATTAAATCGGGAGTACACAACTAGTCATAAAGTGCTATTGTAAAACATATACATGTGTTGGTATAATCGAGGTTAAGGTATGTACAGTGTTATTGTGTGCCAGAAAGCTTTGTTGATGAGTAAATTTCAGTTTACTCCCTTTATTGAGAGTATACACATTTTAGCAGTGCTACAATTGGCTGATGCAATTATGTTTTTACTAAACATATTAATCTGGTCAAGTTATGAAAATATTTCCAAGCCAATTGTTCCTGGTATTTGGTATCACAATCAGTCTCTGTCTTGCTATTAATATTTATTACATACTTACAAATAAATACAGGTTTTTTGTATATGTGATACGACACAATTGCTCTAACCCATATCAGCCCTCGCCGTATCACACCCCAAAACCTGTATCAGCCCCCGCCGTATCACACCCCAGAACCTGTATCAGCCCACAAAACCCATATCACACCCCTTTTGGAAAAAAAATCGTTTTTCAATATTTCAAAAATAAAAATTAATCATAAGATCGTAGTTTTTATTAGTAAGTATGTAATAAACAGAATAAAACACGCCCTTATTCTCGACCCTTATTCTCGACCAATATCAGCCCTCGGGCCTTCGGCCCTTGGGCTGATATTGCAGTCTCGGGTTGATACTGGGTGTTATATGGAAAAAGGCATGTTTTATTCTCTATATAATGGCCTCAGTAGTTATATATACAAGAACTTGTATAAGGTAATCATGTTTGTATTTGAGATTTGTCTACATCCTTAGTCAGAATACAAAATATCATACCTTACCTGAACATTTTTGTCTCTGTGATTGTATGGGCAATTTTTTATTGACTCAGAAAAGGTAGAACATATGTAAATTTGGTCGAGACAAGTTAGGAGCTCAGTGGTTCAACAATGTGTTTTGTTTTTAACAGATTTTTTACCTTATTTCTTATGACAAGTTGTCACTTGACCTTTGTTCCCTTTGTGTGGATACAGCCAGCTGAACATTGATACATATACGTTAAATGTGTTGTGTATTGTGTGAAATATAACGGACATTTTGAATAACAAACAATGACTTTTTGAAATATTCTACTGTTAATGGTTATGATATTGCATTAAGCTAGCAAAAGCTACTTCTTTATACTGGTACATATTGATATAAGATGTTGTAGGAAGTACATGTACATATAAAGGTCATATGTAGGTCAATTTTTATAGCTTGAAGTTGACCTGATTTAAATTAATATTGACAAGGTCATGTAGGGATTGCATATTGCAGTTGACCTGATTTAACTTATTAATGTCAAGGTCATTAAGGGTGTTTCATTCCAGATTGTTTGTAGTTGACCTCATTTTAGTTACATCTGTGTCAGGTCACAGTAGGTTGAGGGCAGATGATCAATATTATGCAGTTAATATCGTTATTAAGATAACTGAACTAAGGTCAGTTACTACAAACTATAGCTGACAGTATGTCATAAGACAAATGCTTTTGAAGGAAATCAGGTGTAGAGGATTGCTTTTATTTCGTAAAAGAATTTGTTTATTATAAAATCATTTTGTTTTGATTTCCGGAATGTACTATCATTGTGCTTGATCTGATGTAAGGCAGTTAGATGAATGATAAAATTGCTTGGGATCATCAGATGCTTTTATAAGTTTCATAAATTGTTTTCATTATTAATTGCATAAAACCTTTTAAAAAAAGCTAGATGAAGTGAGTGTTGTTTTTAAATAGAAATAATTATGTTGATGGTAGCCAAAGGCTGAAGCGAGATATTTTATTGTCAGTGACCAGTTTACCACAAACATGGCAACAGTGGCTTTTAGAAGTTGTTAAAGTTGTAATGTATTTTGCCCCTGTGACCTTTACTGTTTGTCATCACATGTTACTTTACAGCACTCCATCGCTGTTCCTTACTGGCTAAATGTCACATTCCAAGGTCTTAAGAAACTTATTAAAGAAAATCTTACCATTTATAGTCCACATTGATCTTTTCCTCTGGCTATTTCTTAAAAGTTTATCTCAAGACAAAAAATTGAGACAAATCTGCAATTCTGGTCAGACACTAGGCCCTATCTTTAGATAATGTCATTGAATCTCAAGGTATATATATGAGGAAACTTATAATTAAAGCACTTGCTCGAAGTTCCATATAACCAAAATATCACTTCAGGACTTAAGAAACATTAAAGAAGATCCTTAAACAAGAGGCCCAGAGGGCCTGTATTGCTCACATGAATATGTTTAAAATAATTGGTATAAAGTAAAGATATAGCACAAACAAACTTCAAANGTAACATAAGTGGAAGTATATACAATACATACATTCATTAAAAAAAAAACGCCTTTTCACGTGATGTCCCTTTAATCCCGATGGTCGAAGAAAGATTTTGAAGGTTTTACCTTTATTTCTCCTATTGGGCCCCGCCTTCTGCCCCCTGGGAGACCACACCCACTGCTTATACAAAATTGAGTCCCTTTGGCCTAAGGATGCTCCAGACTAAATAAGGATAAAATCCCTTGAACCCTATGGTAGAAGAAGGATTTTAAAGGTTTTACCTCTATTTCCTCTATTGGGCCCCGCCTCTCTGCCTCCAGGGGGGTTAGACACACCGTTAATACAAAATTGGTTCCCCTTCACCCAATGATGCTTTAGACCAAATATGGAACAAATCCTTGTATTCCTACAGAAGAAGAAGGATTTTAAAGAATTTGCAATATTTCACTTATTGGGCCCTGCCCCTCAGCCCCCAGGGGGGCAACACCCACCATTTATACAAAATTGAGACCACTTGGCCCAAGGATGCTCCAGACCAAATTTAGTCAAAATCTACTTGGCTGTTCAGGACTAGAAGTGTTTTAAAGGAAAAGTTGACGGACGGACGACAGACAGACGACGAACACTGCGGTATGGCATAAGCTCACCATGGTCCTTCGGACCAGGTGAGCTAAAAATTACCCATTACAATGTTCATTGTTTAAATTTTCAAGACTGACTTAGCTACTTGAGAGGAAATAAAATCCACTGTGTGAAGAAGCTCAGATTGAAAACATACCCTTACAGCTCAGCCACTTGTTTGATGGGGCATACAAATCCCAAAAGCAATACTTTTCAATGCATTCTTTTATTTGACAATACTTCTGTTTTTCTTAGATAATGTATTCCGATACACACACATTAGCACACAAAGTACACCTCAATCATCATTGTCAGATTGACTGAATTCAATAGAAAATCTAACCATAACACTAACAATGTTTTTAAAAAAACACCAGCACAATCGGTTTAACCTACAATTAAGTTTGATTATCTCCCTTGTTCCAATGACAACAAGACTATCAAGACAGCTTCTTTTCTCAAGATATAGCCAGTAACAAAATGAGGCATACCAAAGTACATGTAATTCAATATCTAATTCATTCTTATTAAGTTGAAGATAGAGGATTATTTTCAATTTACTTAATTAAAATGGGTTCAAAATTGTGAAAAACTTCCTTTTAAACTATTAGTTTCATAAATTTATATACATATGCTTATAAATTGAGAAAACTAAATGAAGGATTGATAAAAGTAATATTTTAGCGAGTCATGCACACCATATAGCTGAAGTTCCCTTACACTGGTGACTCAGCTCAAGGAAAATGTTCACCCTTATTATTGGATGACTTAACAGTTTGTACCCCAAAGACTGATTACTCCCAGTCCCTGTCACACTGGTTCTTTTAGTACATCATGTAATTCAGATTAGTGTTTTTCATTTTTGAGCTTCAACAATCTTTCTTTTTAAGGTTCGAGAATAAACAAGTGTTATATTAACATGATGAACACATTGAGGAACTTCCATCTACCATAAGTATTGGACTGACTGAGTGACTGACATTGTTGTTTTACAAATATTATGTCCAGTTGCCAAGAAATTCATTCAAGATTTAAAGTTTGCTTCCTAATTTGTAAATATCAAATGCCTATTTTTACACCTCTAGTATTAATATTAACAACTTCTGAGGGAACACTGGGAAGTTATTAATAATACAGATTCCCAAACAAGGTGTAAACATAGCCGTAAAGCGAACGAACTGTAAGGATTCATTAGATTGAGCACTTCGGTCACGATCATCCTCCACCATTGGACAATGGCAGGTATACCATACGAAACTGTCTAGATGTAAAACACACAACATATGTAGTGATGCTGGTTTGTGGATAGTCCTGTTTTTTCCTGTGTATATCAAATACGAATGAAAATCACGTCTTCAGTCTGCAGGAATAATCTCCCAAAAGTACTCTTATTTCAATGTAACATTATTTCCTAATACCAGTAAGTTTTTGGTGCATCTTTATTTTCTTCTTCTTTGATACCCATAGATTCAAGAATGTCTTCCTCAAAAGTGGCCAGCTTTGGTTCAAATGTTACCTCATGTACATCATCTTTTGCTGTATCTCTATTACCCACTGTAAAATAATAATAAAAACCAGTTAGTGAGATAAATATTGTACAAGAGGCTTTGAGGGTGTGTATCAATCAGTTGGATATTTGAGCAATCATGGCAAAATACTCTCATCAAAAGTCGTCACATTGCAGATATTTCTCGTTTTGTTGCCTTTGCTTCTCAGCACCCAGGGGAACAGCACCTGTCTTTTATAAACTATGTCTCCCTGGTCCCAACGAGGCTTCTTAGCAAAGTCCGTTGAAATTCCATCAACTGTTCAGGAGGAGTACTCTATTAAAGGTTTAAACATCCAAAAAGAACTTTTGGGCCAGCCCCTGGGGAAGCAACACTCTTTCTTTAAACAGCACAAATTTCCAGGGACCAAACTAGGACTATTACCTAATTAAATCATAGAAAACTTGGTTAAAACTTCATTTATTGCTCAAGAGGAGTACAGTTTTTAAAAGATTATACCCCCAAATAACTCCCCTTTGGTCTCTGCCCCTAGAGGAGCAACACTTTCCTGTACACAATCATAGATTTCCAGGGACCATTCATGGACTAATGATGCTTCATTATCATAGGAAATTTGGTTATATATCACTGTGTATAATGTCATCATCAAAGATCTCCGCTGCCGAAACAGGTAAGAATTGATTTTGTCCTTATTTCACTACCCTAGGAAGAATATCTTAACATTTATGTTAGGCATACATCAAAAATTTAAAATATAAACCAAAGTTACCCCCGATACGTTGATGTATTTATCACATGCAAATATATTACATAAATTTACAAAAGACCGTGCAGTTTAGCTCTAATATTTGTTACATTTACAGTGTAGAGTTTGCGAGGAAACACCCATCAACACCTTCATTCACTTTATTTAAGACTATTTTACTTACTTTTATAAACACTTTTTCTGGCACCAACATCAAGCGCGATATCATCCTCTACAATCGTGGGAATGGGAATGATTCTTCCTGTCCGGTTCGATACCCTCACCTTCTCCCCATCCTCTGTGAAGCGCCATTCAAATTCTGTTGGTTTACTAAAATTATATAATTATTTGAATCTTTTTGTGAAATAATTAAATAAAAACTATATATTCAACCTAATGAGAAGATTGATCTTTTACAATGTTTGTGAATAACACTAATGTCTGATGTCACCCTCCTGATCAGGCTAAACAAAAACAAAAAAATGAATTTTGAAGTGTTGAAGTGTATCATAACACAATAATATTGCTTTGTGATATCACACATTTACTATTCAGATATTATACATTACTTCCATACATTCAGTAGTAATCAGTAGTAATGTTTAAAATACAAAATATTACATATCCTGTGCTTGGATATTAAAATAATCAGATTTAGATGGGTAGTGATTAAACTGTTCGTACCTATCTGAGGGGTCAACTAAGCCCACTTCCGTGGTTACCAGAAGAGGCTTCTCCCTGACAGTTAATTTTCCTGGGTCAGTTGGTGTTTTACCAGGAATTAATCTGTACGCCTATTCATGAAAAGAAAAGTTCAAAATCTATACAAATCTTAATTTAGAGTCTTGAGTAAATACTATGTATTAAGCACATCTTTAAATATGAAAACAAGGCATCACAAGTGATACAAATCCCCTCACATTCAAACATTGTCACATATGTTAGAAGAAATGAAGTAGCTAGAGCATTAGTAAAAGTGACCTTGACCTTTAACGCAGTAACCTGAAATGCGAACTTGTTCAAGGTATTGCCATACCAAACACTAACATCGCCATACCAAACACTTACATCAAGTTTCATGAAATTCTGTTGAGGAATGAATTCGATGGAGCGATGACAAAGTTTTTTTTTAAATAGTAACAGTGACCTTCACCTTGAACATAGAAACCGGAAACACGAACTTGTCCAAGGCATTGCCGTACCAAACACTTGCATGAAGTTCATGAAATTCCGTTCAGTACTGAAGTTGCTAGAGTGATGATAAAGTTTTTCTAAAAATAGTAACAGTGACCTTGACCGTCAATGTAGAAGCCTGAAACGCAAACTTTTTCAAGGTATTGTCATACTACACACTTTATGAAGTTTCCTGAAATTCCGTTGAGGAATGAAGTCACTAGAGCGATGACAAAGAGTGTAACATATGTATAGTCATGACTGGCCAACTGAATAAAAACACAGCATGTAAGATAAGGTTCTGTGGATTGTAATTTATCAGATGCTTTGGAGACCAGTTGGTGTAACTGTTCAGTGATCATTAGTACATGTAACAAGTGGTGCCAGGTACAACTACATGTGCGATGCAAAGCCTGCCAGAGGAGTTTTCTGTCTATGATATATATATAGGTGTGGCACGTGATTAGCTGTGCATGGAGGGTCACTAGGCTAAAGCAGATGCAGGGTTAATCCTTGAAGGGATCATGGAGTCCTGGGATCCTCAAAACTGAAATTGGCCCCTCCTTTTAAATTGGCCCCTCCTTTTCCCATTTTCTGTTTATTTTACATTATAATGGCCCCTCTAACTATTGATACTGAATTGCTCAGAATGGCCCATGACTCTAGATCTCAGCTCCTAGGACTTTCCCCGAGATAGGTGATCACACAAACATTGTTTAATGTTTCAACATCAGAAAGATATCAATCTGGCATCAGTAGTATTTTTTCTTTCAGTGTATGTACATAAATAAAACAACAAAGGGGTTTGGATTCGTAAATTTTGTCACTGAAATAGGTATACAGTTAATATCAGTAAGAACTGCTTTTCTGTTGGCATCAGTAGGAAATAGGAAATCCAGAATATCATCAGGATAACAGGGAAACTAAAAGCAATGCTAAAGATGCATGTACAATTTGAAGCAAAATATACTCACTATGCATACTAACATACAGTATGTACTCACCAAATGCAAACCCTGAACAAAGCACCAGTTCCTCTCCTTAGCAAGTCTCAGCACGTGGCCTTGTTTACCTTTGTCAATTCCTACCAGTACCTCAACCTGTAAGTCACAACACATATTGTGTGTTAAATACAAGTAAGTACCTATACAAGCTACCAGATAACACACAACAGTGAACACACATTGAGTCTTATATACCAGACAGTAGTATATGTACCAACACAAGGTTCATAAAGTCATGTGTAAACTGCTTCAATATTTGATAATTGTATTTCATAATAATATTATTGTTACAATGGTATGACTATGATCGCTAATAAATCTGGTAATGGAATTTCACATCATTATTCCTCTGACCCTGATTACAAGAAAGTTCATGGAATGTATCCCCCTTTTTTCAGGACAATGTCAGAGCTGTAGTCGACTTGTGAGGCTGAAAGAAGATGTACACATTACTCAATGACTTACCAATGCCTATGTGCATATCAAAATTGGTCAATACATGTATGTCTTTTGTAATTGTACATGTTAATTGACATGAATAAGATATATGGTTTGAACTAATATGAATCTGCATACTTATTTTTTTTTAAATCTAACCAAATGTAATAACAGAAACCCTCTTTGATTATGCATAAATATGTGTATACTTAATTAACCTGGGGAAAATTTGAGTTTGACCCGTTTTACGACAGTTATTGCTTATTGCGCACTATTTTTTTGGAGTAAAGAAATGCACACAAAATTTTGATTTTGGCCTCATCTTTAATTTAAAGATAAAGATTCATTACATGTATAATTATGTGAATTCCACTTACCAAATCATCTTCATATATATTTTGTTGTTTAATTGGCTGTAATGGAGGTGTTTTAACTTTTCTAGCATACGACACGTTTGCTTGTTCACTCCACACCGGTTGTCCAGCATAGAACCACTTTGAACTTTTATATTCACCATGAACTGGCACCCAGCCAGTATGGGGTTTCCACTTTTTTTTGCCAAGAGAATCTTGCATTGTTCTCTCTAAGTAACGCTTCACATACTTGCTGCTATCCTTCAGCAGGACTATTGTAAGCCTCATTCTGGAACACACAGCAATCAAAATGAAATCAAGAGACAGATAATCCAATTATACATATAGAACAAATAAAGCACTGCAAGAACATAATACAGGTAAATCACCCCCAGGTATTATGACAGCTTATAAAAAGAGAATGTGACTTAAATATTTGGGATTTTTTATTGATAACAAAAAAAATTGCCTGCATCCATAAGGGACATATGCCATCATAGAGCCATATTAGAGGGCAAAATATTAGTGGTATTCCATTTAATTGACTTTTGTTATTAACATTGGCTAGTTGGGCCAGTAAACTAAACGTGGCAGGGTTCAATTGTACATAGGATTAAGGTCGCCTTCTAGCTTCGAGCTAGAGGGAATTTCCCTTTAGCTCAGTGGTAGAGCATCCGACTAGGAACCACAGGAAGCACACTATTCTCTTTACTGTTACACAAACAAGTGTTAAGCAGTGGAAGTCTGTGTCAGCACCGTCTTAAACATTACTTCGCTTTCAAGCCTGCTTATGGCAGCTGATGAGGACTATGAATTACAGATTCTGTGTTAATTTGAACTTAAGGAGGTGATTCTTGCAACTAGTTCTTTATTTGCATATTATGCCACTTAAAGCTTGCATCAACAGCATGAAGGATTTCTAAAGGCAGTTTTTCATATGATTGTTAATCAATCATTGATTATAGTTGATTGCAACTGATGATTAATTATAATATTTCAACCAATTCCAAACACTACAACACATAGTTCATGGGATCAATGAATAAGGAATGGGATTAATAGCTTAGAGGCTAATAGTACATATATTTCTGGTAATATTATGTATATGGCAGAGGTAGGGTTGATACAGTGGGGCTGGTGTCAACAGTCATTAGTGTGTAAGATAGGTGTCAACATATACAGTAGAAGATAAGGTAAATCTTCACATTTCTTTTGATCAACAGAATCAGCAGCACACTTTTTATGATAGATCAGAAAGGTAAAATCAGGACTTATTTTTTTTTTAGTAGACCTTGAGTGTAATTTTGACTCTCGAAAATGAGTTTTGAATCTTGCTTTTAAAACCACATGTCTTTTTAACATACCAGTATGTTTTCACTCTTTCAAATTTCAAGGAAATAGTTATTTGACTTTTGAAATAGCTAAATGCCAAAGATCAACTGAAACATTTGAAAATCCACAACTGCTAAAATCTATTTGAGGAAACACAAAAAAATAGAATTGTCCTTACAAGACGAAGAGAATCCACCACTGCACCATGCACATTGATCTACACAAGTTCTCTTCTGTCAAGGACCATAACTCCAGGAAGATGTGTAGAATCATAGCTTCTTTCATGGACATATATAGGTCTACATATATCATATACAGAATACTAAAAGAGCTTGCTGCNGTCTTTAAAAAAGGTGACAAACAAGCTGCAGAAAATTATCGTCCTGTCTCTTTAACTTGTATCACCTGTAAATTACTAGAACACATCATTCATAGCAATGTCATGGATCACTTAGACCTCAACAATGTACTCACCAAATTTCAACACGGCTTTCGATCCAAACACTCTACGGAAACGCAACTAATTCTAACGGTAGATGACATCCTTAGGAACATAAACAACAAATCACAAACAGACATTGCCCTATTAGACTTTTCTAAAGCTTTCGATAAGGTTCCTCATGAACGTCTTCTTTCTAAACTACACTTCTTTGGCATTCGAAACAGTACAAAATCCTGGATTAGATCATTCCTAAACAACAGAGACCAACTTGTTTTATTAAATTTATCAAATATGACAAGGCCCCTGTCCTTTCTGGGGTACCCCAGGGGACGGTCATTTGGCCACTGTTATTCCTCGTTTACATAAACAACTTGGTACAGTCAGTCTCCTGCAAGGTCAAACTGTTTGCAGACGATTGTCTACTCCATAAGGAGATAATGTCTGAGGACGACTGCAAACAACTCCAGGCAGACCTTGCTAGGCTAAAACAATGGGAGACTGACTAGCAAATGAACTTCAATGCCAGCAAATGTTGTATAATCAATGTAACCAAAAATAAAGTCCCAGTTAAGTTCGGATACCAGCTTCATAACACGCTGCTGGATAACCTACCAGCTAGCAAGTACTTGGGGGTTATTCTAACGGATGCCATTATCCGTCTTCATTTGAGGTTAACACATCCACTCCACTGTAAGTAAGGCTAACAAAACACTGGGCTTCCTGAGACGCAATATGTCATCATGCTCCAGGAAAGTCAAATCACAAACGTATACCACTCTAGTGAGACCGATGATCGAGTATGCCTCTACATGTTGGGACCCATACACCACAGAAAACATTGTACTGTTGGAAACCATCCAACGTAGGGCTGCTCGATATGTCTATAACAACTACAGGACCCGTGAACCTGGAAGTGTCACTAGCTGAGCATGGTTCAATCACTAAACTAGGAACCACTTGCACAGAGACGAGCAAAAGCAAGGGTTACAATGATGTACAAAATCTTAAATGACAAAGTAGCCATCCCTTATGATCATGTTAAAGTGTCAGACTGCAGAACTAGGGGAGCCCACAAACTCTAACAAATTTCTACTAATTCGGACAAATATCGAAATTCTTTTTTTCCCAGAACTATCAGTACATGGAATTCTCTGCCCGAAGATATAACCCAGTCACCTGACTTGAACCATTTCAAATTAGCTCTGTCTGCCTATCCACAGTCAAATGCGTCAGGTCAGTAATCCGGCGATTCTCCCTTCCCTCTAGACTGACGCATTTGCCTGTGGCCTATCATCTTAAAAAAACCTCTATGTTAACTCTTATAATTATCATGCCTGTATCTAGTTTTATCTTATCATAAAATAACCAAAAACATTAATGCCACCTCCAAGGACACCTAAAATTGCGGCAACTGCACTCATATCTATGAGATCTGCTGCAGTAAATGGAAGAAGAAGAAGATTTCATATTTTACAAATCATTAGGATTTGCATTGAATTCCTTTCACAGGAACATCACATAAAATTGGCTTCGCATGATTCGTCTTATATACATGATTATAATGAAGGTTAGGAATAATAAGAACTCGCTTGTTTATTTTTATCACCATAATGGTGCATTTACAGCACGGACTTAGATACTAATCTAATTCCGTGATTTACAGTGATTTGACCTCCTGACGTTAGCAGCAGCAGACTAGATCAGTAATCAACAATGACATCATAACCGTCATTCCACGCGTAATCGTGATATAATGTAAAATGCATCTGCTTTAAAAACTTACCTGACTTATTCTTTTTTATATTGCAAATATGTATCGCCTTAGATATTAATGTTTGAATTCACATGTTGGTTAAATCCTAACACAGGAAATAGAATTATGATGATGAGTTATCTCCCCTGACAAGGTCCATTCGATCACGCAGTNAAAACTACATGTGGCTTGACATTGTTTTAGAAAGAAATAACGCAAACTAGCAATATTCAGCAGTTTAGTTTCGGCCAGGTACGTCTGGACCCCTCAATCTACACGTACCAAATTTTCCTGAGGTCAGCCTCGGTCCAAATCTGTACCTGTCGTTTTCTTTACAGGTTCAACCGGTTCAACCGTTTCAACCGGTAACGCGAATGTACCCCTAGACTTAACGACAACAAAAAAAAGGGAGTTGCGTCAGACAGCTGCGCTGTCTCTCACTGGGACCGGGGCTGAGTAGGACTGGGGCTGGTGAGGACCGTCAAGATTTAGTAACCAAAACGGTTACTCGTCCGGACTTGGAGCATGATATAACAGTTGGATATCTTATAACTACATTTTATAGTGTATACGGTCCTCATCTGGGACATTCTTATCAGGAAATAGCGTAGATATTTTTCATTTATACATTTATAAACTAAAGGAAGATAATGTTCAGTGTATATGGTAATTTAAATGGTTGTATTAATTGAGGAAATAGAACCACGACTTATAAGAATGGTTATATGCCGTATAGTTTATAACTTAAGCTGTGAGCGTTCACGGTCTTGAGCAGGGACATCCTGATCAGGAAATCGAGTACTAATTGTATCCGTATTGATGGATCAAATACATGAAGGTGGCAGTGTTTACAGTCAAAGAGAGGAATAAAGATGGTTTAGAAATACAAAGTAAACTATATTTATAGTATTTTATCTTTGTATTCCACGATATAGTGTATACGGCCTGTGCACGGACATCATGATCAGACAGGATATGTTATAGTGAATATATCCGTAGTTATTTATAAAATATATAAAGGCAGCAAAGTTTGCAGTCAAGAGAGGTGATTTTGAAATAGAAAAAAAACAACATCAAATCAATCTTCAATCTCTTTAATTATATGTTGATATTGGAACGTATCCGGTAACAGGGAAACCCATATCATTATAGCAAGTACTCATTATATCTGTATTAATGGATCAAATACATAATGGTGACAGTTATTAGAGTCAAGAGATGAGTAAATATGATTGAGAAATAGAAATATAACTTTGTCTATAATATGTTATCTTCGAGTTGCATACTAGTATAAGATCCTAAGCAGGAATTTAAATGGAAATAAAAAAGCTAGCAATGCGAACGGTCAAGAGAAGCATCATAATGATTTTTCTTAATGAGTCGTTTTAATTAAGAACCCCGACTTACAAGAATTGTTATAAGCCGTATAGTCTATAACTATATAGCCAGTAGCGTATACGGTCCTGACCGGGGCCATCCTGATCAGGATGTTCCTGATAAGGACCGTGTTTATTGTAAGATGTATATATTTAGTATTTCGTCGTTTATTTTACCTATTTTCCATGTAAAAGTCATTATGACACATATTTTAACCGTGTTGATCCCTAACTTAACTTATATTACGAAAAATAAACGGATATACTTAACATTTGATTTCCTGATCAGGATGTCCCCGCTAAGGACCGTGCATGTTGTAAGATGTATCACGGAATTAGATTAGTTATCTAAGTCCGTGGATGTATATAGTAATTCCTCGTTCATTTTATCTATTTTTATATAAAAATCATTATGACACATCGCTTGACCGATTCATTGCTGCTGACTTTACTTATGAGAAGATTCACAACGGATGTATTTAACATTTGATTTCCTGATAAGGATGTCCACGCTCAGGACCGTGTATGTTATTAGATGTATATATGTTCATTTTACATAGACCTACATGATCAAAGGGAGGTAACTGCTATATTCCAACTCCGCATTATGAGTTCTGTTACACTTTTTGAATTAAAAACAATGATCATAATCCCTTTGTCTTGATAATTTGATGATGATTCTTTCCCATGCTAAACAATAGTCACATATCGATGCAAATCATTGCAGATGTTTGCTAAAACAAGTGTATGAAAACGCCACAATATGCAACGGTCCTGGTCAGCGACGGTCCTAGGCAGCCCCGGTTCCAGTGAGGGCAGCTCAGCTGTTAGACACTGTTGAAAAAAGGGGCATCCTCCCCATCATAAGTAGGGGCGGGGATGTCTTCCAAGTAACCGCATTGATATATTGATGATTCTTCTTCAGATAAGGAACTTTTCACAACATATATCACGTTACATGATACACTTGTTTAACTCTGCTTCTTAATCACAATTTAATAAAAATAACTTAGTAGGTGACTATCAACAAATAACTGTAAAATTATCACATTATTCAAGGCAGCGGAATAACAATTAAAACACGCAGGGGGGGGGG